TGGATAAACAGATGATAACTGATCGTTTTCCTCCCTGGAGGCAGCTGCTGACCAGGGGCACAGGTCAAGGATTAGCACTGATCTATAATCATATCAAGAAAGGGAGGGGCTGGCACTGTGGCTTAGTGGTAAAGTTGCCTCCTGTGATCCCTGCATCCTATATGGGCACCTGTTCCTGTCCCGGTTGCTCCACTTCCGATCCAGTTACCTGCTAATGGCCTGGGAAAAGCCCAAGTGTTTGGGCCCCTGCACCCACATGGGAGACCTGGATGAAGCTCCTGGCTCCTGGCTTCAGCCTGACCCAGCACTAGCCATTGCAAGCCATTTGGGAAGTGAACCATGAGATGGAAGATCTCTCTCTCTCTCTCTCTCTCTCTCTCTCTCTCTGCAACTCTGACCTTCAAATAAATAAGCAAGTCTTTTTTTTTTTATTAAAGATTTACTTATTTATTTGAAAGGTAGAGATACAGAAAGAGGAGAAAGGGAGAGAGAGAGAAAAAGAGAGTGAGAGAGAATCTTCCATCCACTGGTTCACTCTCCAAATGACCACAATGACTAGGGCTGGGCCAGGCTGAAGCCAGGAGTCAGGAGCTTCATCCAGATCTCCCAAGCACTGCAGGGGCCCAAGTCCTTGGGCCATCTTCTGCTGCTTTTCCAAATGCATTAAGCAGGGAGCTGGATCAGAAGTAGAGCAGCCAGGACTTGAACTGGTACCCATATGGGATGCCAGCTCTGCAAGTGGAGGCTTAACATTCTACACCACAGTGCCAGCCCCAAGAAATTTTTTTTTTTTAATGATGAAGGAGCAAGTTAAATGGTACCACAGAAAAATGAGATAACTCCAGAATGTAGAAGATTCTGTAAGAAAACTGGCCTGGTCTCTTCAGAGCCGGTTCAGAGAAGAAAGACTGGGTTTTCCAGGGTAAAAAGGAGGGGAGGGCACTTTTTAACAATGTGGAGGCAGGAGTCAGCACAATGGTTAAGATGGTGCTTGGGATGCCGGCAGGGCAGCCACATGGAAGTGCCTGGGGCAGAGTCTCAGCTCTGCTCCCAGTTCCGGCTTCCTGCTGAAGTGCATCCTGGCAGGCAGCAGGTCCTCACCTAACACATGCGGTTCCCAGAGCCCTGGTCTGAACTCTCTGCTCCTGGCTTCAGCTTGGCGCAGCTCCAGCCATTGCAGCCTACTGGGGAGTGAACCAGCAGATGGAAGACCTCTCTCTCTCTCTCTATGCCTCTCCTTCTCTTTCTGTGTAACTCTGATTTTCAAATAAATAAGCCTTTTAAAAAATCTATTAAAAACAATAATGGTCTTTCAAAAAAAATCACCCAAGCAACTCAACACAGATTCAGCAAACCCTAACTTTGCCATCTTTGCTTTGTCTCCACCTATCTTTCATATCTGTCTCCACCTATCTTTTCTGAACCATTTAAAATACACTGCAAATACCGGGACCATTCATCCCTAAATACTTCGGGTACATCTCCTCCACAATCACAACAGAATTATCATAGCTAATCAATTAGTAATCCCTAGTGTAATCTAACATCTGTCCATATTCAAACTTTCCAAATTAAAATGCCTTTCATAGCATTTTTTATCTTTTCCAAAAATGTATTAGCTTTTGAACTTTTCCCAGCTTTACTTATTTAGGTATAACTGGTAAGTAAAAATTTTATCTCTGGGATGTGAGTATCCCAAGCAGCATCTTTATTTTATTTTTATTCAAAAGGCAGAGAGAAAGAAGCAGAGGGAAAGGGGGACAGAGATCTTCCATCTGCCAGTTTACGCCCCAGATGGCCACAACAGCCCTGGCTGGGCCAAACCAAAACCAAGAACCAGGAGCTTCTTCCTGGTCTCCTACATAGGTGCAGGGGCCCAAGGACTTGGACCATCTTCCACTGCTTTTCTCAGGCCAGCAGCAGAGAGCTGGATCAGAAGTGGAGCAGCTGGAACACGAATTGGCACCCATAGGGGATGCCAGGTGTCACACATGGCAGCTTTACCCACTACGCCACAACGCCGGCCCCTCCCAAGCAGCGTCTTACTCGCTGTGCCAAACATCTACCCCATTTGGGTGTTTATGGTCTTCTTCTGTGTTAGAAAACTTTCAAACTAGAAAGTTGGAAAGAATTTTTACACTATCCTGATTTCTGCACAATAACAGAAGACATTCCAAGCTGAGGCTCGTTAATATTACCTCTCCTTTGTTCTGGGGAATCAAAATGTTCTCGTTTATGATTTTTTTTTTCAAAAGGCACATTAAGAAACACACATTAAGAAACATAATGAAAACTCTGTGGTCTCTTCATTCAAGTTTGGCTTTAATATTTTATTAAAAATCCTAGAATTTGTAAATAGTAAAACACTGAAACTTGCTTCCGACACAAGAGTGACAATGCACTAACAATAAAGTCAAGGTAGAAGCTAAACTATCCAGAAACAGTAGCAACTCCATAGCCGGAAGGTAATCTGAGCAGGCAATTTTGCAGTGCAAAGCAGCCTCTCGGCCTGCAGTGGTGCTTCCTCACCGGCAGATGGCGCTGCAAAGCTTCCTGGGTGCCGGGGGAAGCCCATTTACCAATGGCTGTTGCCAACCGATGTGTTCGTATTAGAATTACTTTTACTGCTTACCGCAGTTACTCTTACACTACTCACTAACTGGTACAGAAGTGTTTTAACGACTACCAGTGCGAGCCGGCTGAATGTCAGCGCAGTTTCTTGGGAGGTGATCTGGAGCCAAGGGCTCCCGCCTGAGGGTGGTCCCTGCCCCGGGACCCTCCAGCTCCCCGCCGCACTGCCTGCGCGCTCAGCCCACCCCCTGCGTCTGAGCAAAACACTGCAGACGCGGGCAAGCCTCAACTCCCTCCACCTCTCCTTCGTTGCAACCACAGCCAAGCTTCTTGGCGATGCTCTCCCACCTCCACGCCTCCGACACCCGGGCCCCACGAGCTCACCTCTCCGAGGGAACTGCCTAGCTACTTCTCTCCTGGCTCGCTTGCACGTGCCCGCGCTTCCTCAGCCTTCTCTCACGTCGCATACCTTGGATGCCCCCACCCGCGTCCTCCTCCTCCCTGCCCATGCCCTAGATCAGTCTCTAGCGAGACTCCTTCTTCCCCAAACCCCATCACCTACCCAGCTGCCAACTCAGAGGCCCCACGTGCACTCTTGGTGCGCGCCTCTCCCCTCATCACACGGCCAAAGAACCGCAAGGCCCCTCCACGCTGGCCCCTGAGCGCCCCACAGAAATCTAGTCCCCTTCTTCCCATCTGCCACCACCCCCACCTCTGGCTCCCATTCTCTTCATCCTGATCTCTCTCGTCTACAGCACTTTCCACGCTGCGGTCTCAGGGATCTCTCGAAGGCACGGTTCTCTCTTTTGGTCCTGGGCTTAATGGTCTTCAGTTCCTCTCGATGAAGCGGACACCTCCCCCCGGCTGCCAGGGCCCAGCAGCAGCTGGACCAAGCCCTACCTCTCCAGCTTCACCGTTCCCCAGCTTTGCACCTCTCTGCCAGCCCCACGTCTGGTTAAAGGGTCTTCAGGCCTCAGCTTGCACCTCTGTTCTGCTAGGGCCCCCTCACTCATCAGCGCTGATGTAGGTGCCCCAGACCAGCAACACAGGGAAAGCAGCAGGGCTACCAACAGAACTGACTTTTCTTCCTCTTAAGGAAATGGATCCAACGTCCCTGCCCCACCTCCTGCAGTGGAGAAGCCCCCCCCCCCCCCCAGCATCCCTGACCATCAGGAACCCTCCAGGGAGTGGCCTGGGGCTCCCCCTTCCTCCATCAGAAGAGCCATCTGTGGAGCTACCGAGCCCCTGGTGAGACAGGTGGCAGCTCTCCCAGCTGGGAGGTTTCCCTTTTCCAGTGCACTCTGGGCCGACTGCAAGCACATTCACATGCTCTGGGTATGTCAACCTTGCACGGGAACGCAGATGTCAGCACGTCTGTCCCGCTAGGACCAGGGAGGGTGTGGGCTTTGAAGGGATGTGCAACCGCTTCTAAATGACTTTTCTTTGCTCCTTGGGTGACAGGGTCTCTGCTGGCCATTAGCGCAACTGCCCAGTGATGCAGGGCCCGAATGGGGACGTGGTGACCGAGGAGAAGCAATCTGGTGCTCCCTCTTCTCACCCTGACAGCTAATGGTCACCCTGACAAACCGCCCGTTTCGCTGCCATCCAGCCCAGCCCCACTGCGGCAGCCCACAAAGCAAAGCCCATCCTCCCTGTTCTCTAAGAGGTAACTCTTGCTGTTGGGGTCGACTACAGAGAACGCAGTCACACGTAAGCCCTGACTCAAGAGATGGCTGCTGCTGAAACTCGGAGCCCACACGCCTGGTGGCCCTGACCACCTGCTGCCTCCTGGCACAGCCCCTAACCCGGTGCTCCCTGGGACTGGTTCTGCATCCTCTCTCAAGTCTTGTGTAGACCTCTAGCTGCCAAATCTTCTAAAGATTTCTACCAAAAGGAAGTTCTAGAATCGCAGCAATTGAAACCCCAGGATGTGGAGACACTGTACGCCCTTGCTAACCCAAATGCTCGGCACAGCCAGGCTGTGAATTTCGGTCAGGCCCCTGTGTGCGCACCTTTGTAGGATCAGCACTTAATCCGGGTCAACACACGTGGCAGACCCTCGAGAAACACTTGTTGGATTTGAAAAATTCCTGTAAAAATCTCCCTTGAAGGCATCAGACTGAGAACCTTCTCCCAGAAGCTCCTGGTATAACCCAGGTCGGGCAGCAGGGGGCGCGCGCAGGGCTGCCACTCTGGTCAGAGGGACCCGCACCAACACCAAGAGGCCTGGATTTGGACCACCCCGCCCCACGTGCATGATGGGATTCCTAAGTTGCATGGTGAGAGAGCAGGCAGGAGGCAGGCTTCAGGGCCTAAGAACCCATTGAGTTAACTGCTAAGAGAGTATATGGAAAGAAGGGCGGAGGGGTCAGGCCCCCGCAGCTCAGCCTGAAGCAGCGCTCTCACCTCAGTTCATCTGGGGAAGGGGCTACAAAGCAGACAATCTTTATTCACAACTGGGGCGGCGGAGGGATGATACCCCTGGGTCAGTCCAAAAGCAGAGACAGTGGGTGGGAAGATGGCCACGGGCGGGGACTCAGCACTCGTCCTCACCCAGCAGGGCATAAGGGTTTCGGGCGGCCAGGCTGGACCCTGGGGCTGAGCCTGGGGTGTCCTCCTCCCCTTCTCCCTCCTCATCCGCATCCCGGTCCTCCTCTCCCTCCTCCTCACAGGAACTGCTCAGCTCTTCCTCTTCCTCCTCCTCCTCGTCACCTGCTGGCCCCACCCTGCCCTGTAAAACCACCAGCTCCGTGGTCTCTGGATGAGACTCCCAGGTGCCTGGGGAACCAAAACAAGAAAGAGAACGGGGGAAGAGTTTTGAGCAAGGAACTAAAAGCCAGAGAGACGGGCAAGAGGCAAGAACTAGGAGGAACAACCATTGTGACAGCTGCTGGCGATCCTTCATTCGCTCAACCTCCCACGTGCACAGAGCTGGACAGAAGCTGTAGACACGCGTCAACGTCAGCCTTCAGCCACAAAGCCCATACCCTCTTGCCCACACCATGGAGGGGCCTGGGGGAGAGTATCTGGGCTCTGACCTTTCTGTTCGCTGTAGCCCGGCGGGTGGAAACACAGGCTGAGGCGGCCGTCCACCGCCAGCCGCAGGAGGCTGTTGGCCGCTCTGTACACATCATTGCGGGCTGCCTTGGCTGTCTTGTAACCGCGTTTCTCTGCCCAGGCTGCAGGGAGAGAAGAAGGATGGGAAGGGAAGCTGGCTAGCCAGGTGCCAACACAGTCCTCCCGGTTTTGCCCCCAAACATCCTAGGCCTAAAGATCTTGCTGACCCTGCAGTAGCAGCCTGGGGCTGCGTGCACGGCTGCTTCATCAGTGGCAGAATCTCTATGGAGAGGAAGGAAAAGACAGGGCAGGGTAAAGAGCGAGGCCCACGGGAACGGAGGGCAGCGAGAGGAGAGTCAGGAGGCGAGAGGCAGGGCTGGCAGTGCGGCGCAGCGGGCTAAGCTGCAGCCTGCCAACGCCGGCATCCCATACAGGAGCACCAGCTGGAGTCCCCCTCACTGCACTTCTGATCCAGCTCTCTGCCACTGCCCCTGGGAGGGTGGCAGAAGCTGGCCTGAGTACCCGGACCCCTGCCTCCCCTGTGGGTGACCCAGGCGACTTCCAGACTCCTTACTCAGCCTGGGCCAGCCCCAACTAATGTGGCCATTTGGGGAGTGAACCAGCTGGGGGAGATCTCTGTTATTCTGCTTTGTAAATAACCTAAAGTAAACCTTAAAAAAAGAAAGAGAGAGGTGAGAAGCCAGGAGCAGGGCGCTCACCTTCGCAGATGTCCCAGGCACACCAGGGGTGTTCTGCTGAGGGGTCGTTGGCCTCCGGGTGGCGCAGGTGCAGCAGGGCCTGCACGGGGATGCGGGAGGCCAGGTAGCCCACAGCCGTGTAGGGCTCCTGGATCTGGGCGATGGGGTAGATCCCTGCCAGGACCTGCAGGGGGCGGAAACAAGCACTCAGCTCCCACCCGGCGCTTCTCCTCGCCCCCAACCCGGTCTGCCTGCGCACCTGCAGCTGCCTGGGCAGAAGGGAGGGGAAGATCAGGCCGGGGCAGTCGCAGAGCTTCACGGACGGGGTGAGGAAGTAGGTCTGGAAGTACCGCGTGTGCCCAGGGGTCCTGGAGACGCTCACGACCTTGCGCCCCACCAGCCCGTTGATGAGCGAGGACTTGCCCACGTTGGGGAAACCTGAGACAAAGATGACAGACATTTGACAGGTCCTCCGCGGAGGCTCAGGACCTAGGGAAGGGGTATACCCTTGCGAACGATAGATTGGGCTCCCGCCCGCCGTGCTCAGGTCCCAGCCTCTCCATTTCCCAGCGCAGTGACCTCAGGCAATGTACTTCCTGGATCCACAGGGCAGGTGTCTCTGCCTCACAGAGGTCAGGAGGAATCAACGGTGCAGGTCGAGCCTGCGCCAGCACAGCGAGACGCCTCGGGGCTCACTGCCACTCTCCCCCGCCAGCACCTTCAGGCTGGCTGACCGCGCTGTCTACCCCGCCTGCGACTCAGCTCCAGACACCATTTCCTTCATGCCCCCTGGGCGACCGCTGCGGCAGTCACATCTGGAAGGCTTCAGGTTCCTGCACCTCTCTTCCTCCTGACATCCATCTTCCCAGCTCCCCTATTCTGGTCCCTTCATCCAGGGAGTCTTTGCTCCCGACTCTAGCACAGCGAGACCATGCAACACGCAACATGTGTCCTCAGGCCCCTCCTGACCCACCTCAGATTCCACGACCCAGCGGACAAGGCCGTGGTTCTGCCTCTCCCCTCTGTCCTACCCATCTGACCAAATCCCAGCCCTGTAAGATGCAAGGCTCCGCCCACCCAGCACCTGCTCCTGGGCAGCCCGAAGGCACGCTGGAGGCCTCCTTCCCTAAGAGGGAAGGAACAACTCTTCAACGCTCACCAGCCCCAGTTCTCTCTCCCGATTATAGAGAAACTCCTTTAAAGCTTTTTCTCACCACTTCTTTGTGCCATCTTCCTTGTGTCTATGTAACACACAACAAAACACACACAGTATCAGTGTGCAGCCACATGAACCCCATTCCATGCAGCCCTGGACCCAGAGTGAGGTACTGACCGCACCCTGTTCTTCTCCATCCTAACTCTCTCTGCCTTTTGATGTGAGCCTTTGCCTGACTCGAGACTCCACCCCTAATGTTTCTTTTTCTTTTCTTTTTTTTTTTAAAGATTTGTTTATTTGAAAGGCAGAGAATGAGAGCAAGGAAGAGAAGCGAAGAGAGAGAGATGTTCCATCCACTGGTTCACTCCTCAAATGGCAACAACAGCCAGGGCTGGGCCAGGACAAGGCCAGGAATCAGGATCTCCATCCAGGCCTCCCAAGTGGGTGGCAGGGACTTGAGCACTCAAACTTCCCCACATGTCTTAGCAGGGAGCTGGATCAGAAGCGGAGCGGCCAGGGCTTGAGCCAGCACGATATGGGATGTCAGCGTCGCAAGTAGCAGCTAAACCTGGTGTGCCAAACGCTGGCCCTCCTTGTATTCCTTCTTCATTGATGACCTGTGCCTGGATCTCTGAATGGTGTAGCTTCAGTCTGCAGCTTTTGAACTTCACAAGCGTGGAAGCTGTGGCAGCAGGCTCCTTCCACACAATGCCACGTGAGGCTCCCTGCACTGCCACTGTTCACCCCTTCGGTTTCCTCCTCCCCATTCCACGGGCTCCTCCCCCTCCCAGTCTACTGCAGTAATTCCAGTTGCTCAGAATGCAACCTGGAGGTCCTTTCTTCCTGGCTTTCTCCTGCACGCCGAGTGCAAGCCATGAGCAACCTCATTTTCTCTATGTTCAGAACACATCCTGGGGTGGGCACGTGGCCCAGCAGGCAAGATGCCCACTGAGATGCTTGCATCCCCTATCAGAGTATCTGGGTTCAATACCCGGCTGGCTCCTGGCTCCAGCTTCCTGCTAATGCAGACCCTGGAAGGCAGTGGCGATGGCTCAAGTAATTGGGTTCCTGCCACCCAAGTTGGAGACCTGGATTTGGAGTTCCTGACTCCCAGTTTCCACCTACCCTAATGTTGCAGGCATTTTGAGAATGAACCAGGGGCCGGCACTGCGGCATAACAGGTAAAGCTGCCACCTGCGGTGCCGGCATCCCATATGGGTGCCAGTTCAAGATCTGGCTGCTCCACTTCCGATCCAGCTCTCTTCTATGGCCTCAGAAAGCAGTGGAAGATGGCACAAGTCCTTGGGCCTCTGTACCCCTGTGGGAGAGCCAGAGGAAGGTCCTGGCTCCTGGCTTCAGATTGGCATAGCTCCGGCCATTATAGCCAACTGGGGAGTAAACCAGCAGATGGAAGATCTCTCTCTCTCTCTCTCTGCCTCTCCTCTGTGTAACTCTGATTTTCAAATAAATAAATAAATCTTTAAAAATAAAAAGAGTGAACCAGCAGATGGAAGTGTATGCACGCACGTTCTCTCTCTACACACATGCATGTTTTTTTTTTAAATAGATCCTGTGTTTGATCCCGCCTTACCACCTCCGACTCCACCACCCTACCTAAGCAACTCCTACTTCTCTCCTAGACCAGGATAATGGCCTCTGACGGCTCTCTGCTTTCCTTTCTTGCCCATCACTACCATTTATTCTCCAGTAGATAGGAAAAAAAATCTCATGAGACTTAGATGAAAACCCAAAATGCCCGTCATAACCGGTCACTAGACCTGTCCCCGCCCCCGGCACTCCTGCTGGTCCCAGGATCATGAAGCTTCTTCTCGCCTCCAGACCCTTTCTCTCGCTACCCTCCTAGCTCCGAATGGGTCACTCCCTGTTACCCAGGGCTCTCCTGGGGAGGCTCCCCCTGAGGCCCCAGTCACTCTCCATCCCCCGTCAATGCTTGATTTTGCTTTGTTGCCCCTGAATAATAACTGCGGATCACAAATCTGTCTACTCGCGAGAGAAGTAAGCTGCACTGAGTGTGGGGACTTCCGCGTCATGTCCCCGGTGGCGCGTCCATCACCAGCATGGCACCTGCCCTGACGGCGGGCGCTCGGGAAACCTTCGTTCAGCGGGTAAATGAGTGAGAACTGACGACAAGTCTATACTCAGGGCTTCCCGGGCAAAGCACTCTCCTCTCACTCTACCAAGGGAGGGAGCAGAGGGCCCTGCGACTGAGACCTAGGATCGGACATCAGGGAGCAATCACTCAGCCATCAGGCTGGCTCTGCCCAGGACAAAGGAGGCGCTGAAACACAGGTGGAGGCACTTCAAAGGAGCCCAGCTGCTCCAGGCTGCCGGGCTGCTCCGGAGTCAGGCTCTCTCCCCACTGCTATTATCTCAGACGTCATAACTTCACAAGGTCCCTTCACACCTCTCCCCCAACCTGGACAGGGCCCTGGGTCCCAGGCACACACTCCTTTCCCCCCACTCGGAGCTGTCACAGAGCCCTTAACTGAGGGGAGCCTGTCCCTGACAACACACTTAAAGCGTGATGACCTGCACGGAAACTACTCCCTGCTGCTACCAGGATTTAACACGCGCCGTCCTCGGGTCTAATTACGATGATGATGATGGAATCGGGGAGTATTCTCGTCCGGCTGGTGCGTAACTGCTACGTCTTAACAACCACCACCGTCACCTCTGTTACTACTGTGTATCAGAAGCCCCTATTCCCTTCATTCCTCACAACTATTCTTTTAATTGGGTAAAAAATTCCCCACTTTAAAAATGAAAGTGAGGGGCCGGTGCTGTGGCATAGCGGGTAAGGCCGCTTACCCCCCACCCCCCATGGGTACCAGTTTGAGTCCCAGCTGCTCCACTTCTGATCCAGCTCCCTGCTATGGCCTGGGAAAGCAGTGGAAGATGGCCCAAATCCTTAGGCTCCCACACCCACATGGAGACCCAGAAAACGTTCCTGGCTACAGATTGGCCCAACTCTGGCCATTGTGGCCATTTGGGGAGTAAACTAGCACATGGAAGACCTCTCTCTCTCTCTTCCTGCCTCTGCCTCTCTGCAACCCTGCCTTTCAAACAAATGCATCTTAAAGTAAAAAAAAAAAAAAAAGAAAGAAAGAAAGAAAGAGAGAGAGAGAAAGAAAGAGAGATTCAAATAGCCTGCCCAGATCTCACTGCTGAGAAGAGGTGGGACTTCCCTGAGGCTGCCCGGGCCCTCCACTACAGCGGATGGCCTCCCCTGCCTTGTCTACGACCACAGGCAGAGGTCCCGCCTCAGAGAACTGATCTCCTTCACTCTTTTCCAAATCCTGAACTCCTGTACCCCGGGGACGCCACCACGCACAGGCAGCCGCTTCCTCACCCACGCAGCCAATGGTCACCACCCCGTCCTTGTAGCGCTCCCGGGTTGGGCCCGTGGGCTCCATCGCTGAGTCAGTCTGCTGCTCCACCAGGACTGCTGGCCCATCCTCCTCTTCTTCCTCTTCCCCAGAGCCATTGCCCCAGGTGGCCCCGGCCACATCCCGGGCGATCTTCTCCCGCCAACTGCTCAAGTCCACTGCTCAGAGAAGGACAAGAGGACAGAGGTTCTCCCGGGGCCCGCTGTGTGACAATGGCACCTGCAGTGCCGACCTGCACAACCGAAGGCTAGAGAACAACCTTGGCCAGCACCTGACCCCACACTAGAAGCACACACGCTGCTGTGAAGTACAGGAAACCAGAGCAGTAAGCCACTGGGCTTCTGTCCACCTGCAGTCTCTCTTCACCCAGCAAGCCCATCTGTTCCTGGTTCCATCCCTGTCCCCGGCCTCTAGCGTCCACCCACCAGGGAGAGGCTGTCCTCAGACGGGGAGCAAAACGACTCCTGGGCTTGGCACCCCCACAGCCTCCCATGGCTCCCACAACCAAGGGCCACACACCTTTCCCAGCAGTGATGGCTTCACAGGCTCTCAGCAGCTGCTCCGGCCCCAGAGCCCGAGTCCATCCTCTCCCCCGCCTCCGATTCTTCTTCAAGACTGAGATCGGAGGGGAAAGAGGGTTAGCACACAGGGCTGTATGCCTCATCTCGCTCACCACCCTTAGGCCTGAGACCGAGCACCGGTCAACAAGACCCTCTGTGTCCCCCCTGTGGCCCCTGCCACCCCACCTCTCCCACGGTGCTCTTCACTGCCAGCTCACCACTACTGGAGTCCTGCGGGGTGCGGGGGTCCCGTGGGAAAGAGGTGAAGAGGACGACATGGAGCTGGGGGTAGTGCTGGTGGAAGTAGTGCTTCCAGGCCACCACAAGGGCTGGCGGGGCCAGATCCACCTTGTTCAGGACCAGCACCAAGGCGAGTCCCAGCTCTCCAGTCACATACTCGTAAAGTGCTGGCGGGAAGTTCACAACCTGGGATTGGGAACAACGAGCGGTCGGCCCAGAGTGCTCTGCCTCCAGCTCCCTCCCACTCACCAGGCCCAGCTTAGAGACAAAGCCCTGGCCATACTGGAGTCTGGGTCAAAAACAGTACAGCAGCCACGGTGAACACAGTAAAGCCAGGGTCCAGGTCATGGGCACAGGTAGCAGGGAATCGAACACCAGGCGAGGAAATAACACACAGCACACTCAAGGAAAGGCAGGGGTCAGGCACAGGGATGGGGGGTTGGGTAGAAAGTATTGTTTTCACGTGCACGTGTGAGTACACGTGCATATGTGTGTGCAAGCACATAGGTGCATGTCTGTGTGCTAAGCGTGTTTTGTGAACACGTGTATAAATATGCCTGTGTACAGACGTGCAGGCACACCTGAATCCGTGAGTGGATGTGTACACATCATGAGGGCCCCCCCAACCTAAGAGTCTCCATAGACCTCCTTTTCTCCAGCAGAGCCAGCACTCACTCAGGGTAGCCCAGCAGCACAGTCTACAGCCTCAGCCCCCCCCCCCCCCAACACCGCACGTGGGTTCTACAGCGACCAGAGTGGCCGGGCTAAGACGACAGAGGGGGAAAAGGCATCTTTGGCCTGGGCAGCATGGAGCTCCCAGCTGGCTCGCAACACCCTCTGGAGCTCCACACTGGGGCTTTCTACAGGGCCAGCTCTGCTAGGCTCGGAGTCAGGATAAACAAGGTGAAGGCGTGTCAGCTGGCCAGGAGAGGAGTGACAGACTATGGTGAGATGGGAATGAACAAACTGAGTTCCTGACTGCAGTTATCAGCACAGGGTAGGGGAGGCTGGAAAGAAAGGAAGAACAAAACCTCTCTGTCTCCAACCCCCACCCCTGCCCTTCATCCTCTAAGAACCTCCCTCCCTCCCCGCCCCCGCACTCACTGGATGTCGGATATCAGTGATAAGCAGGACAATGTCCGACATCTCTAACACTCGCCACAGCTGTCTCCAAGTCTGCAAACACAAGATTGGGGGGCGAGAACTTGAGGCAGAGCCCCCGTCTCGCCTGACCCAGATCGCCCAACCGCGGCTCGCTGTGGCCCGGTCCCGCCCCCAGCCCGCTGTCACCTCCAGATTGTGCTCAAAGTAGCTGAGTTTCTCTGAGGTGAACGCCCCGTGGATCTTCCCAAGGTACTCCTGGAAGCTCCGCTCCTCCTGGCTCATCAGTTGCTCCTTGGACATCTCATAGCTCCAAGGTGGGCGGCGGGGGAAGTCCAGCACTGGGGATCCATGGAGAAGTGCAAAGAAGCAGGAGAAGTTTCAGGACCCCTGGCTGGCTCACTGTCCGCTCACCCGTCCACCCCGGGGTCTCGCTCGCTCTCACCTGAGCCGGGCTGGTAGACCTCCCGGATGTCCAGCTCCAGCAGCTCGGCGCTGACCGGCTGCAGCACCTGCTCCCGGGCTGCTCTCTTCCTCTTCTCCACCTCCTCCCTGCTGTCCCGCTCGAAATGCAGCCGGTATCTAAGGAAACACGGGCCGCGGTACCCAGCGCCAGCCCGGGAGCCAGACAACTTCGCCAAGCTTTCTCTCCGGAGCCGCTGAGAGTCTCTCTCCCAGCCAACCGTTCTCTCCTTCCCACAGTAGCGAAAACCAGACTCTCGGGCCCCTTTGTCAGGGAGGGCTGCGGCGGCTTGGGGCGGGGGGAACCTCGACCCGCCAGCAGCCGGCTTGCCCTGGACGCCCGGGGCCAGAGTCCCCCCTCCACGCTCACCGATTCGGGTCGTAGCCCCGCGGACCCAGGCCCTGGGAAGGCTGCTGATTAAGCCTGCGGATGTGATGGGTCACAGACTCCCCGTCCGAGGTGTCAGTCTGCTCCTCCCGCCGCTCCCGGCTCCCGCTGCGGCTGTTGGAACTGGAGCGCAGCCCATCTTGAAGTCCTGCGGGGAGGGGCCGGTGACGCCAGCGCTGGCCGGCTCTCAGGGGCCATAAGACCCCCCCCCCACGCCCCCGCCCCGGCCCCAGCCCCGGGAGGCCTGGCTCCCCTCCACCCACCCAACTTCCTCCGCGGCTCGGCCCTCCCAGCCACGCGCCCCAGGACCCCTCCGGATGTGCGCGGGGGCAGTCGCTGCTCCAGGGAGCTGCGGGAACGGCTTCCCCTCCCCCAGCTCCCCATCCTCGCCCACCCCTTCCAGCTATGGGGGAACCCCTCCACGGCCGCCCGCGCACCTCGGCGCGCGCTCGCCGCCCCCTCCCACGCCCCCTCCCCAGGTGCAGCGGGCACACCCCTCCCTCAGAGGTGCGGGAGCCCGAGCCCCGCCCCCTCCGCCCGCTCCCGCACTGACCTCGCTTCCGTTCGCGCTTGTCCTGCAGCTGCTTCTTCTTCTGCTTCACGCTGAAGGGCTTCTTCCTCGGCATGGCCCGGGACCAGTCACCGGGCCCGCCCCTCCGCCGAGCTCCCGCCGCCTCAACTGACTCCCGGGGGCAGCCCCCGCCGCCAGGGCCCGGGACCCTCGAGGAGGCGGGGCTAGCGGGTGACGTCACGGACGGGCCGGGCCGGCCGGCGGCGACTGCCGGGACGGAAAGCAGACACGGGGTGGTCACGTCTCTCCCGGAGCGAGGCGAGGGGCTGAGGGGACGGGGCAGGCGGCCGGCACGTGAGAGTCAGCGGCACCGGCGGGGCGCAGCGGCGGTGGAGGAGGAGGCGCGCGTGGGAGGATCGGGCCCGCTCCGTCACGGACGCTACCAACGGGCGCCCGCAGGAGGGGGGGCGCGTGTCATCACTACCTTGCGCTCCCGGGAGACGCTACCACTCACCTGGCGGGGGCGGCGGAGCGGAGGGCGGGCCCAGCTACCTTCGGAGGGAGGGGGCGGGGACGCGCCGAGGCGACAGCACCGAGCGGGGATTGGCCTGGGTGGAAAGCGGAGACGGAGCACCCCGAGAGGGAAGCCCGCTTGCTGGCGACTCGTGGGGCACGGCCGGAGGTCTTAAGGGGCGGGTGGCGTTCTGCCGGTTCCCGGGCGCGGACCTGCTGGGACCCGAATTTCGATGCTAACGGGCGGGTCTGCAGATCCCAAGCGCGGGCGGGAAGGGAGACCCAGGTGGGACAAGGACTTTTGGAGGGAGGTCAGAGGGCACCGAGTTGTGCCTGCGGCTGTTCCCATGGTAACAGGGCACCGGAAGTGGCGACGTTAGGACGCGACAGCCCGCTCTCAGGCCGTCCGGCCCGGAAGCCCGTGGGCTCTGCAGCACACTGTGGTGTTTCTTGGCGGAGGAGAGGGCACTTGTAAGCACTTGGAGAGATGCAGCAAAGGTAAGGTTTGAGGTTGCCGCCGTGCCTAGCAGAGCGGGAGCGGGGCGGTTTTCGGGCGGGTGCGGCCGCGGCAGGGGCTCCCCGCTGCCTCCCGGAAGTGGAATGGCGGGAGCCTCAGCCCCGCTGCCCACCGGGCTCCCCCCGGAAGCGGAAACAGCTTCCAGCGTGCCCCTTCCTCACTGCCCTCCAAATCCCGCTGCAGCCATTGCCGCAGCCACGATGCCGAAACGAAAGAAGCAGAATCCGCAGCCGCCGCCACAGCAGCCCCCACGGCCCGAGCGGGAGGAGACTGGAGACGAGGAAGATGGTTGTCCCATGGGTAAGGGAGCGCACGTTCTCGGCAGCTGGGCCAGGCTGGGGCCAGGGACTAGGCAGGTGCGGGGGAGGGGGCGCTCACGGAAGGCGCGAGGGCGCACGCGCAGGGGAAGGGGCTGTCCTGCATGCAGCTTTAAGCCAGGAGTTTACTCACCTGAACTCCTGGCCTTTATCCGGCCCCCAAACCTTTCTGGAGGAGGCGGGGGAGGAAAAGCTAAAGTGCGGAGTGCGCAGCCGCAGGAGGAGAGGGGCGCGATGTTGCAGGCTGTGGCGGGTGGGAGCGCAGTCTGAGATCAAACTAGGAGGGTAGAATGCAGTGCGGCCGCCTTTTAAGCACTCCCCTGGGGGAGGGGGAGGGGAAAAGAGCTGTTTGATTGGCCAGCAGTTCAGGTGGGGGATTGAATTAGCCCTGGAATTACCTAGGATGTTGTGGTTGCACCAGTATGAGGGAAAGACAGTGGTCAGCGTCATTCCTGCATGACCGGGTTTCCTGAGTCTCTGCTTTCTAGCAGAACATGGAAACAGCTTGGCAGAGGAAAGGGCCCACAGATGGGGTGAGAATGTGCAACACTGATGATACATAGCTCACTTCGCTGATTGAGTTAAGGAGTGCATTCTAGAAGGACATCTGAGGACAGGATCATAGCCCATTCTGATGACGGTATTTTCATGTCTACTCTTAGGACCACCCAGCCTTCTGGGCCCTCCCCCCATGGCCAATGGAAAGCCTGGTGACCCCAAGTCAGGTGAGGAGGAGGGGACCCGGATCCTTGTATTAGATGCTGGAGAAGGGTGCAAGAGGAGAAGTGAAACCTAGCAAGAATTTCACATCTTACAATCCAGGATTCGATGCCTAAGTGAATGGAGAGAAGTTATGCATTCACAGACTGGAAAAGTCATAATATTGGCGTGAAAATGCAGGGAATCAGGGTGAGAGACTGTAAAGACAGTGTAAGTGAGAGGGCTACTCTGAACATCAAGATTTTTTGTAAAGCTACAGTGGTTACAGCTGTGACTTTGATGCAACAGAACAGATTAAAAAGGCAAGTAACAGGCCCACACATAATGAAAGTGCCTCAAAAAATTGATGGAAAACAGTTAAAACATAAGTTTATCTTGGTGCCTAAAATTTTCAAAGTGCATGCATGGTTTTTTCCTAATATGTGTTTTCTGTGAATTTTTTGACGTCTTCGTGTGTGAGCTCTTCATTTATAAAGATAGAACTGAAAAAGTGGTCTTTTCGATAAATGATGCTAGATCAGTTGGATAGTCGTGTAGGAAACGAATGGAATTTAACCTCCTCACAGTCTTAAAAATAACAGTACTAGTTGGACTGCAGATCTAAGTATAAAAGGTAAAAGAAAAATTATTGTAGAAAGTAAGTGTATATTCTTGGTCTTAGAGTAGCTAACAGTTCTTAGATGAGAAATACACATACACAAATTATAAAGAAAAGATTACTATATTCAACTACATTAGGTAACATAAACTTCTTTTAATCAGATGACATTGATTAACAGGAAGCCATAGAGTAGAAGACGGTATGTTCAACAAATATAACCAATAAAGAGCTCTTATCTGGAATATAAGAAGAACTCTTCCAGACAGTTCATTAGAAAAATTGGCAGAAGACCAGAACAGATTCTGGAGATCTTAATGGACCCAAACTGTGTGAACTAGTAGTCAACATCATTAGTCATCAAATACAGAATGAAAATATACCACGTTGGAGTTGGAACTCGTATGCATTATTGATGGGATTGTAAAATGGTACAAGCACTATGGAAAACAATATGGAATTTCTTCAAAAACTTAGAACTGCCATATGATCCAGTCCCACTTGTGGATATATATCCAAAATTATTGAAAGCAGGGTCTTGAGGAGATGTTTGCCCACCCATGTTCGTAGAGTATTCCCAGTAGGCAAGACCTGGAAGCATCCCAAATGTCCATTGATAGAAGAATGGATAAGCGAAGATAAAAGTACAATGGAATACCTTAAAAAAGGAAGAAAATGCTGTCACATAACTACAACCCAGATGAACTTGGAGGACTTTCTAAGTGAAACAAGCCCGTCACAGACAAATGCTGTATGATTCCACTTACATGAGGTATCTCAAGTCAAACTCATAGAAACAATAGAATGGTGGCTACCAGGGGCTGGGGGGCAGAGGGATGGAGGAAAGGGAATTGTTTAATGGGTACGGAGTTTTAGTTTTGCAACAGACAGTTCTGAAGATCTGTTTCACAACATGAATATACTTAACACTATTGAACTGTACACTAATACATAATTAAGATGGTACATTTTTAATATTTTTTAACCACAATAAAAGGCAAAAAACAACTCACCACTTTTCACATTCACCAGAATGGCAAAATCAAAAAGAATGATCATAGCAAGTGTTAAGCCTGTGTGATAATTGCTGGTGGGAGTGTAAATTGGTACAAACATTTTATAACAAAGCTTGACATTATTAAATTTGAGCATACATATGCTCTATGACCCAGCAATACCTACATATACTCAACAGAAATGCATGCATACGTATGTGTAACAAAGACATGTATAAAGATGTTCATAGCAGCATTTTTCGTTATAGCCCCAAACTGGAAGCCACCCACATGTCCATCTTCAATAGAATGGATAAATCAGTTGTTATGTATGTATGCAATGGGAAACTACACTGCAATGAAAATGAACGAACTGCTACTGGCAACCGGATGAATCTCACAAATACGATGTTGGCGAAAGAAGCCAGACACAAAAGAATGCAGACTGTATGATTCTATTTATGCGAAGTTCAAAAACGGGCAAAAACTAACCTGTGGTGTGAGCAGTCAGGACAGCGTTACTTTTGGGAGGGGGGAGGAGCATGGGGGCCCTTTTGAAGTGCTAATAAGGCTCTATCTCTTCACCTGGGTGGTGGAAACACAGCCTTGTTTACTTTGTGGTAACTGAGTTTGACACTTAAAAAAGTCTGTGCATCTTTCTGTCTATATACTGTACTTCAATAAAAGGGGGAAAAACAGGCTTCCGAGTCGGGCTAAACTGCTTGCTGATTGCTTTTCTGTGTCTTTCTCTTTCTCCAGCTTTTCACAGAGGTCCTCCGGGAGCAAGGGGACCAATGATTCCACCGCTGCTGAGTCTCCCTCCTCCTCCCCGGGGTAGAGGCCCAATGCGGGGAGGCCTTGGCCCCAGGTGTGGTCCATATGGTCGTGGTTGGTGGGGGGTCAACGCTGAACCTCCTTTTCCTGGGCCAGGCCATGGGGGTCCCTCCAGGGAAAGCTTTCACAAAGAACAGAGAAACCCTCGAAGGCTCAAAAGCTGGTCTCTTATCAAGAACACCTGCCCACCTAAGGATGGCCCCCAGGTTATGGAAGGTGAGGTCCATTTTGTTATACCCGTACACACTGAGTGAGTGGCTTCGTTTCCAGAATGCCTGTGACTCCTTTGGGATATCCTTTTCCTGTTGAAGTAGGAGTGGCCCTGATTGCTTTCTCTCTCAAGAGAAGGACCACCATGCCCAAATAGCTCGAAATGGCGGGGAGTAAGAAATCTGACCTCCTCTGTTTCTGCATGTCATTACAATTGCTTCCTTCTTTTCTCCGATTTTAAACTGCCCAATTTTCACTTGTTCACAGACAAATCTGACCGCCCTGTCTGCCGACACTTTTCCAAAAAGGGCCACTGTCGATATGAAGACCTCTGTGCCTTCTACCACCCGGGTGTCAATGGACCTCCTCTGTGAGACTGTGCCTTCCCGTCCAGGGTGGAAGAAGCCCTCTGTGACCTCGTGGGCATGCATTTCCCTGTGGCCCTGTGGTGGCTACTGTGAGGCTCTTCTGCCCACCCCCATCTACCACCTTTCCCGTCTGGGGTCCCAAGTGAGTCATCACCCGTGCGTGGTGTCCACACTTTCTTCTGATCCAGCCTCCAGAGACTGGCCTTCAGGACCCCGTCATTGCTCCCTTCAACTGCCTCCTGGATCCTCCCCCCTCGCCAAGTGACTGCTAAACAGGAAACCTCTTTGGTTGGTGCTGTTTCTTGTACATCTGTCCACCTATTCCCCAGTACTGCCCTCAATTCCTGAGAGCCCTGGAGTGGTTTCCTACCCCCTCTAACTGCTTGTTTTTAAAGTCTCTCACTTTTTTTTTTTTTTTTTTTTTTTTTAAAACGTGACATCCTCAATGTTGTCAGCTGCTCGTGAAACTCCAGGTTGCCTGATCTGGGGTCAAGTTTGGGGGACTGGCTCACAGGTCCTCCCTGAAAGGCCCCACTCCCTGCTTTTGGATTCCGTAGTCTCTCTGTCAGTAGCATGATCCCCACCGCTATGGTCTGTGACCGCTGTGCTTTGTGAAACTCTGCAGCCCCCTCGTAGCCTTTCTCAGTGTCTGTGGCATTTTTGTGACTTCTCAACACTAGAATATGTTTTTCTGCCAAAATGAGTGAAGCTCATGGTGCCCTCTTAACTTTCCCTCCAACATGGGAGAATTGTGAAGCTTTCCACAGACTGCCTCCCTGCTCCTTCCCGTTCCCCTGGTGTTGGCTATTCCAGGTCTGACATGGGCCTCTGGGCCCCGTCTAGTTCCTTTCCAGCCCACTTCAGTTTCACTGTCATTGTGAGGCCAGCGGCCCTCTCATTGGAATTCTGTGAATCCCACCTGGCCTATCTTTGGGTGGAACCTGGACAGTACTGTTGCCCTCTCCCAACCCTCTGTCCACATCCCTGGCACTGGTTGTTTTCTGTGAAAACGGCAGTGAACAGGTTCAGTCTTGAACTGGCCCTGAAGAAATGGGTCAGGAGTTAGGTGGCAGGAGGGTTGGAGGAGAACCGTTGGAAAACTGAGAATGAATTTTTTTTTCTTTTTAACTTTTTTTTTTAATATATTAGTAATAAATGCAGTGAAAATGAACATTTTCCTTACTCCCTGTGTTCCAGTCATCTTTGGAGGTGCAGCCACTGTTCTTCATGGAGTCCATCAGCTCATTCTTTGTTCAGTTCACGCACAGTGGTAATGGACAGTGACAGAGCTTATGTTTCTTCCAACATGAAAGAACCGTTGAGATCCTGTTGGCCTAGAGCTGGCTGCAGTGTGTTCAAGGGCAATGTTTTGTAGACCAGAAGAAAAGTCAAGTGTCTGTGGGGGTGATTTTTTAAACATTTTACCTATGTTTGTAAGTTTGGTGTTTATGGAGTGGTAATGAGAAGTAGTCTTCAAGTATCCATGGACCAGACAATGCACTATGCATTAGAGATAACAAGCAAAACCAAGGAATTTTAAATCTACAGAAGACACGTTCATCAAATCACAAATACATAAAAAAGTTACACCTGTCAAAAAGGCTATGAAGAAGGGCAGGTGTGGCAAAGCAGGTTAAGCCACTATTTGGGATGCCCACGTCCCATACTTATGGGAGTGCCTAGGATCAAGTCCTGCCCACACCTCCTGCTTCAGTCATGCTCCCTGCTAGTGCACCAGGGAGACCACAGATCAAGTCTCAGGCATTTGAGTAGCTGCCACTAGGATGGAGTTCCCGGTTCCTGGCTTCAGCCTGACCTATTCCCAGCTGTTGTGGCATTTGGAAAGTGAACTAGTGGATGGAAGATTTCTCTCCCTGCCTTTCAAGTAAATAAACATGAGTGAACACTGAACAGAAACAGCGAAAGGAGCATGTAGTGTCAGGGAAATAGTACCGATGCTAAGATTGAAAGAGATGCTTTGGAATGGTAACAGTCCTAGCTGCCTTTTATGACGTGTAAACAGATACATAAAGTAGGTAGCTGCATAAACAGGCATGCTGTTCATGTTAATGCTAGAGGCTGCCAGGACTGTGGCATAATGGATAAAGCTTCTGTTTGTGGTGCCAGCATCCCATATGGGCACTGGTTTGAGTCCCGGGTGCTCCACTTCTGATCCAGCTCTCTGCTAATGACCTGGAAAGGCAGCAGAGGATGACCCAAGCCCTGGGCCCCCACCTAGGAGACTTGAAAGAAGACCCCAACTCCTGGCTTGGGATCGGCCCAGCTCTAGCTGTTGGGGCCGTATGGAGACTGAAGCAGTGGGTAGAACTCTAACTCCATGAATCTTTTAGGGGGAAAAAAAAAAAAAAAAACAAAAACTAGACATAAACCTGAGGTATCTATATAGGTTGTGGCTGAAGCCATGATCATGGATAATAGGAGTCTTCAGAAAGTTCAAGGAAAATGCGTATTGCGAAAATGCATGGATTTAATTCTGTTTTACTATGAACTTTAAGTACCTTCATATTCCTTCACTCTGTAAGTATCCAGTGCCTATTGTATTCCAGTTTATCAGGTTGACAGAAACCCAAGTTAATGGAAACTCAAGATCAGTCTTGAACAAAATAGAAGTTTATTTCTCTGACAAGACTTATGGCTTGACAGTCTAAGCCATATGTGACAGTTGTGCCACCACAAGGTTCTCAGGTATTTAGAACCCAGTCACCAGCTTCCAGGTCCACAGCCAATAACCACAGATTCCTGTTCACAATACAAAATGAAGCTCGCTCTTCCTCAGCTGTGTTCAAAGACTCGGGAGGAAGGAAGAGTGGAATACCTAAATTTTCAGTTAGTGTACAGCTCTTCAACTTCTATTGCCACTGGTAGTAATTCCTGAATTCTAGCTCTTTGGAAAAGTAGTCTTTGTTCAGGTAGTTATGTGCTAAACAACTTACTAGGGGGTTTTAGCTGGTAACAACATTGTAGAATGAATAGCCCCTACCCGCTATCCATTGCTGCAGTTTGGAGTGCAATAGGAAACAGCGGTAAGTGTCAGTGTCCTCCAGGCAAAGAGTACTAGGAATGCACCCACAGTCGAAGTTGTGTTTCTTCTCAGGTTTTTAAGAGATTAGGAATAGGTAGGCACTGTGGCACAGCGGGTTAAACTGCTGCCTGCTGCGCCAGCATCCCATATGGATGCCAGTTCTAGTCCCTGCTCCTCTGCTTCCAATCCACCTTGCTGTTAATACACCTGGGAAAGCAGCAGAAGATGGCCCAAGTCCTTAGGTCCTGCACCCAGGTGGGAGACCCAGATGAAGCTCCTGGCTCCTGGCTTCGGCTTGGCTAGCCCAGCCTGGGCTGATGTGGCTGGAGAGTGAACCAGTAAATGGAAGATTATTTTCTCTCTCTGTCCAACTCAGCCTCTCAAATAAATAAATCTTAAAAAAAAAAAAAAAAAAAAACTAGGAGTGACAGGATTAGAATTTGTGTCAGATAATTTCAAAGAAACCAGGAATTATTCTGGTTTGGATGCTGTCAGGAAGTAGGGGACAATCATAAACTGCACATCTTAGTAAATTTTTTAAAAAAGATCTATTGATTTATTCGAAGGAGTTACAGAAAGGCGCAGAGAGAGAGTCTTCCATCTGCTTGTTCACTCCCCAGATGGCTGCAACAGCTGGAACTGGGCGAATCCAAAGCCAGGAGCCAGGAGCCACTTATGGGTCTCCCATGACAGCGCAGGGGTCCAAGGACTTGGGCCATCTTATGCTTTCCCAGGCCGTAGCAGAGAGCGGGATCGGAAGTGGAGCAGCCAGGACTCAAACCAGCGCCCACATGGGAAGCCAGCACTGCAGGCAGAGGCTTTACCTTCTATGGCACAGCAACAGCCCTCTTAGAAAGTGTTATCTAGAAGGTGGGTGGAATGAAATGTGAGTGAAGCTGTAACCATCACTCATTTTAGCCAAGAGAGGACGCATTTTGTGACTCGTGCAATGATGTCATTTTTGTCTTGCTTAGACAAGATTGTGAAGTTTCTCTTCACCACAGTTACAGGATAACTTAATGTGACACCGGTTTTCTGTGAGATTGTTTTTGTTTAACAAGAGTAGCAAGGCCTGGTGCATGAGTGTCAGGCCAGCAGCACCTATTACTGATGGACTGGTTCCCAGATGTCACGCTGCTTTTCTCAAAAGTAAACAAAGGAGTCTGCGTCCATACCACTGTGAACGCCCAATCTCGCCTGATCTTGGAAAAGTAAACAAAGGAGTAATTACAGGTTGTGATGGATGATATGAAGGTAATAAAAGGTACCAAATAGAGAACAGTAGTTGGGAGACTACTCAAAACATAGTATGGAGGATAGAGCTCTCCCCTGAGGAAGTTACAGTTGAAACCACCCGGGGAGGAAAGTCTGACATCTAATACCTGAGTTGAGGGCAAGCAAGGACGGGCCTAAGAAGGAGGCTGACGGAGGGCAGAGAGGCAGGGAGGCGTCTGAGCATGGCGGCGGCTGGCTGTTTGCTCTATGCTAACATAATGTGTGAAGTGTTTATATGCATTGTCTTGTCTCAAACTTGTTGAATGAACACTTCAGTGCCTGTCCTGGGAAGGCACTGTTTTAGGAGCTGAGAAGAACAAAAATCACTCCCCATATGGAGCCTACATTGTTTTGAGGATGTTAGACAATAAGTACATGTATAATATGACTTTAAGTAATAATAAGTGCTCTGAAGAAGAAGTGGAGGAAGAGGCCAGAAAGTGACAGGACAAGGAGTGGTGGTTAACCTTGTGCTTGAGATGCCAGTGAAGACACCCGCATCCCATACCCGAGGACCTGGGTTTGAGATCTGGCTCCCGATTCCAGCTTCCTGCTAATGCAGACCCAGAGAGGCAGCCACAGTGGCTCAGGTAATTGTGTTCCTACCATCCATGTGGGAGACCTGGATTGAGTTCTTGGTTACTAGCTGTTGCAGACATTTGAGGAGTGAGCCAGCGGATGGAAACTCTGTATCTTTCTCTGCATCTCAAAAATTTGAAAAAAAATTTAATGTAAATTGGGTCATGTAACTCTACTCATCACCCTGCAATATCTTCCGTTTTAGTCAAAAGGAGAAGTTAAGGAGCCAGCATTGTGGCATAGTGGGTAAAGCCATCCCCTGCAATGCCAGCATCCATGTGGGTGCTGGTTCGTGTCCTGGCTGTTCCACTTCTGATCCAGCTCCCTGCTAATGGCCTGGGAAAAGCAGTGGAAGATGGTCTAGCTGTTTGGGTCCCTGTGGGAGACCAGGTTGAAGCTCCTGGTTCCTGGCTTTGGCCTGGCCCAGCCCTGGCCATTGCAGCCATTTGGGGAATGAACTAGCAGATAGAAATTCTCTCTTCTCAAAAAAAAAAAAAGGTATTTTTAAAGTCAGAGTTGGAAAGAGAGAAACACTACCTCTCAAATAAATAAATTTTTAAAAATATTTATTTATTTGAAAGAGTTACACAGAAAGAGGAGAGGCAGAGAGAGGACTTCCATCTGCTGGTTCACTCCCAAAATGGCTGCAACAGCCAGAGCTGTGCCGATCGAAAACCAGGAGCCAGGAGCTCTGGGTCATCTTCTACTGCTTTCCCAGGCCATAGCAGAGAGCTGGATCAGAAATGGAGCAGCCGGGACTCGAACTGGCCCCCATATGGCACTGCAGGCGGCAGCTTTACCCACTATGCCACAGCACCAGCCCTTCAAGTAAATAAATTAAAAAATTTTTATTATTAAAAACTTAATCTGAGTCACTTCAGCATTTTAAAAAAGATACTTATTTACTTCAACATTTAGACCTCAGGAAGCGAAGCCAGCAAAGGCATGAAAAGAGCAGCCGTGGAGATGGAAAGGAGAGGTGCAAGCCGAGTGTCCCTGAGGGCGTGACCAGCTGTATCAGATGTTGCTGGGACAGTAGGCAGGATGAGCTCAGAGAACCGGCCCCTGAGCTGCTGACCTTGGCAAGAGTGAACTCAGCCAGTGACCAACACAAAGGCATGATTATAGTGGCTTACGGAGAGAAAGGAAGCGCCCTGCCCTAGCTCCCACACCTATTATTCACTGGAAGAGCTGGCAGTGACCCAGATCTTGACCGTGGTGATGGCGTGATGGATGTATGCCTGTCAAAATCTGCCAAAGTGGACACTTTGCACTTTATTGTCAATTATACTTCAGGAAGCTGTTGTCAAAAAATTTTTTTAAGAAAGGAGAAAACAGTATATCCAAGCGGCACTGCGCCGAGATTTCTACTCGCTGGGCTGGAGTTCCGCATTTCCAATTGTTTACTTCGGGATTCTATAACACATCAAGGCCGGCAGCTTTAGTGGGCACACCTTACGTAAGGTTTCGTAGCACGTACCAGGCACATAATATATATATGTATATATATGTGTATATATAATATATATATGTGTGTATATATATATATATATTCCAACATCTCCATGCTAGCCGGTAGCCGGTGTAGCAGGGTCACCAGGTCAGGCTGTCCGGGGTGTCATAAACCCAACACTGACGCGACCGTAGCTGGAGCCGGCCCGCCGCGTCGCTGCAGGCCACGCCCCGACAAGCCGCGGTCACGCCCCCGGGTAGGCGGTGCGGCGCGCACGTGGGCTGCCGGGGGCGGGGCGGCCTCCTCGGCGAGGAGAGCCCGCCTACTCCATGCCGCCGGAAGCGGAAATAGGCCGGACGCTGCCGGAGCACCGGTAACTGCCACCGCGATGCCGAAGGGGCCCAAGCAGCAGCCGCCGGAACCCGAGTGGATCGGGGACGGAGAGAGCACGAGCCCCGCAGGTGAGCCTGGGGGGCGAGAAGAAAAGAAGAGTTTTAGAAGCGGGACAAGCAGAATGCGCGTGTCCTGGGAAGAGGGGGCCGGGGCGCGAGGGTGGCCGGCCGTGCGGGGCTTACTGCGCATGTGTGCGGTGGGGCCGGCAGCGCTGAGTTAGGAGTCGGGGCGACGGCAGAGGTTGTGGGGTGTCGCGCACGGGCTGTAGGGGACTGGGCTGGAGACGAGGGAAGTGGGGGAATGAGAAAGCCCTGCTTTCTTCTCCTGTGGGCCTCCGTCCGTCCAGCCACGCCGTCTCGCAGCCGGTGCCTGAGCTGGCCTCGGCCTCCCTCCCGCCGGCGCTCCGCTTGCTTCTATGCCTCGTCCGACTCAACTGCAGCAGGGATTTGGGTTTGGGTGTTAAAGTAGGGGTAGAGATTTACCTACAGAGCAGCAGGTGTTTGTTGGGCGCCTGTTGGTTTTTTTCTTCTGTTTCGTAAATTTCATTTATTTGAAAGGTAGAGAGACAGTGAGGAACCTCCCATCCACTGGTTCACCCTGCACATTGCTGGCAACAGCTGGGGACGGGGCCAGGAGGAAGCCAGGAGGGCCTGTTTTTGCTTAGGCTGTGCTTTTGGGAGGGGAAGGGGAAAAAAAAATGCAGGCAGCCTCCCAGGCTTGAAGGCACTTGACAGCGGAGATAAATGAATCCGAATAGCTACAGCAGATACAAAGGTGACTAATTTTACAAGCATTTATTGGATGCCTACCGTGCACCAAGTGCTGTGCTGAGGCACTGGGGATGCAGAGAGAAAAGGTAAGCCTTTCCCTCAAGGGGCACTCAGGCTGGTGGGGGCGATGGAGCATTACCCAGACTCTGATGGACAGGGGTGGTGGACGTGCTTGGGAAGGCTCTGCCTGTGCAAGCAGAGGGGCGCCCCCTCAGACGGGCAAGCTAGGACTGTCAGCAAAGCCTCCCGGACACAGGCAGTGTTTCTTCACATTCACTCTTGAAGGACTGCTGTGAGACAGCACCTGGGAAGAGTCTTCCAGGCTAGAAGTTTGTGTACACGAGCCTGGCTGGTTCCCGCTGGGGCCTGATGACCCGTGTGATGGCGTTGAAAGATGAGCAGAAGTAAGGAAAGGCTTGAAGTGTTACTATTCCAAGGGGTTTAGTCCTAAAAACATGAAAACATGAAGAGGAAGGATCCACAGAAATGCGTAAGGGATGGTGTGGTCAGTTCCCTCAGTAACACTGAACAGTCGAGAATGGACCTTGAATTGATTGGGGTGGATGCGCGGAGGCCATGTAGGGGGCTCCAGGAGAGAAATGGTAAGAGAAGAGTTACTAAGGAAATGGCATGGACCAGAGCTCGGGACTGATTATATGGAGAAGCATTAAGGTTGACACTGCAGAACCCATTGGGTATGGGGCTGGCATGGAGGTGTAGCAGGTCATGCTGCTGCCTGTGGTGCCAGTATCCCATATGGGCGCTGGTTCAAGTCCCCACTGCTCTACTTCCAATCCAGCTCCTCGCTAATGCACCTGGGAAAGCAGCAGAAGATGGTCCAAGTGCTTGGGCCTCTGCACCCACATGGGAGACCCAAAAGAGACTCCTGGCTTCAGTCTGGCCCAGCTCTGGCTGTTGGCAGCCATTTAGGGAGTGAACCAGTAGATGGAAGATCTCTCTCCCTGTAGTAACTCTGCCTATCAAATAAATAGATAAAAATAAACCCCTTTTTAAAAGAAACTCAGTGTGTAGCAGACCATCAGTTGAAACAATGATGGGTGGAGGGTGGGAAGAGATAAGGTCATTTTGAATGCTGAGTTGGACGCTTCTAAGAAGAGGTGGCAGGGAGAGATTGTTCGTCGGCTGTGGAGACTAGAAATGAAGACACGGGAGAGCATAGTTGCGGCGTTACACACAGAAGACTTCTCTACAGAGTACAGTGAACAGAGGACCGCCACGTGGGTGGCAGGAGCAGTGAAGAACCAGGTTTTTAAGGGAAGAAGGCTGAGGAAGATGAGACTGAGAAAGGTGAGCAGCTAGGGAAACTGCAGGCAAACCAGGAACACGCAGGATCCCAGAAGTTAAGAAACAGAAGGGGCCCAAGGCTGTGGTGCAGTGGGTAAAGCCACTGCCTATGATGCTGGTATCCCTTATGGGCACCAGTTCTTGTCCCAGCTGCTCCACTTCCAATCCAGCTCACCGTTCATGTGCCTGGCAAGACAGCAGATGACGGCCCAAGTGCTTGGGCCCCTGCCAACCACGTGGGAGACCTGGATGGAGTTCCATTTTCTGGCTTCAGCTTGGCCCTGCCCTAGCTATTTAGGGAGTGAACCAATGAGACATCCTTCTCTCTCCCTGTCTCCCGCTCTCTGTATCTTTGCCTTTCAAAGAATAGATAAATCTTTATTAAAATAAAAATTCTGGGATTGACCACCTAACAGGCTAATTATAACTTAGAGAAAAGTAGTTTCTGTCAGATGATACCCACATCAGATTGCAGTATGTTCACAAAGGGATGGTTGGCCAGCTTTTGACCAGGTGGTTATGGTCCCTGTGCCCCACGTTGGAATGCCTGGGTCGATATCCAGCTCTGGCTCCTGCTCCTGCTCCCTGATGATGTGGGCCGTGGGAGGCTGTTGTGAGGGCCACATAATTGAATTCCTGCAACCCACAAGGAAGATTCAGTTCCTGGGCTGAAGCAGTCATTTGGAGGGTAGGATGGGAGCATGCTGTCTCCACCCCACTCCCAAATAAATGAACAAAATTTAAAACAACCACAGCCAAACAGGAGGTGAGGCGGTAGAACTGGTGAACTGCCCTTTTGAGACTGAAGATAAGGGTGGAGAACATGATTGGTTGGGGAATGTGTGGCAGGTTAAGGAAAGTTTTTTTTTTTTTTTTTTTAAGATTTATTTATTTTATTTGAAAGGCAGAGTTACATAGAGGCACAGGCAGAGAGAGAGGTCTTTTATCCACTGGTTCACTTCCCAGTTGGCCACAATGGCTGGAGCTACGCTGATCCAAAGCCAGGAGCCAGGAGCTTCTTCCCAGTCTCCCATGTGATTGGCAGGGTTCAATGACTTGGGCCATCTTCTGCTGCTTTCCCAGGCCATAGCAGAGAGCTGGATCAGAAGAGGAGCATCTAGGACTTGGACTACCACCCATTTTGGATGCCAGCATTGCAGGTGGCGGCTTTACCTGCTATGCCACAGCACCGGCCCCCATTACTCTTTTTAAAAATGTTTATTTTCATATGCTTGAAAGGCAGAGCATGAGAGAGAGGTATCTTTCAGCTACTGTTTTGTACAGCAAATACCTGTAACATCCAGGGCTGGGCAAGGCCTAAGCCAAGAGCTGGGAACTTCATGTGGGTTTCCCAGATGCATTATTAGGAGTCTGGGTCAGAAGGGGCAGCTGGGACTTGAAAGAGCACTCTGTTGTGGAATACGGACATCCCAAGCTGTGGCTTAACTGCCTGTGCCACAGCACACACCTGCCGTTACTAATCTTTTTTTATTAAAGATTTTTATTTATTTGTTTGAGAGGTAATGTTACAGACAGAGGAGAGACAGAAAGGTTTTCCATCCACTGGTTCATTCTCCACATGGCTGCAACAGCTGGAGCTGGGCTGATGCGGAGCCAGGAGCCAGGAGCTTCTTCTGGGTCTCCCATATGGGGTATAAGTACTTGGGCTATCTTCAACTGCTTTCCCAGGCCAATAGCTGGGAGCTGGATTCGAAGAGGAGCAGCCAGGACTCGAACCAGTGCCTATATGGGTTGCAGGCACTATAGGCAGAGGCTTAGCCTACTGCATCACAGCGCCAGACCCTGATCTTTTTTTTTTTTTTTTTTTCTATTGATTCTCTCTCTCTGACAGGCAGAGTGGACAGTGAGAGAGAGAGAAAGACAGAGAGAAAGGTCTTCCTTTGCCGTTGGTTCACCCTCCAATGGCCGCCGCGGACGGCGCATCGCGCTGATCTGAAGCCAGGAGCCAGGTGCTTCTCCTGGTCTCCCATGGGGTGCAGGGCCCAAGCACCTGGGCCATCCTCCACTGCACTCCCTGGCCACAGCAGAGAGCTGGCCCGGAAGAGGGGCAACCGGGACAGAATCCGGCACCCCGACCGGGACTAGAACCTGGTGTGCCGGCGCCGCTAGGCGGAGGATTAGCCTAGTGAGCCGTGGCGCCGGCTTTTTTTTCTTTTAAAGATTTATTTATGGGGCCCACACTGTGGCACAGCAGGTTAAAGCCCCAACCTGCAGCACCAGCATTCCATATGGGTGCCGGTTTGATTCTCAGCTGCTCTGTTTCCAATCTAGTTCTCTGCTAATGCGCCTGGGAAAGCAGCAGAGGATGGCCCACATCCTTGGGCCCCTGCACCCACATGGGAGCCCCAGAAGAAGTTCCTGGCTCCTGGCTTCGGATCAGCTCAGTTCTGGCTATTGCCGCCATCTAGGGAGTGAACCAACAGATGGAAGACACCTCTCTCTCTCCCCTTGTCCCTGTAACTCTCTTTCAAATAAATAAAATATTTTTAAAAAATTATTTATTTGAAAGAGTTACAGAGAGAGGGAGAGACAGAAAGGTCTTTCATCTGTTGGTTCACTGCCCAAATGGCTGCAGCAGCCAGAACTGAGCTGTTCTGAAGCCAGGAGCTTCTTCCAGGGCTCCCATATGGGTGCAGGGGTCCAAGGACTTGGGCTGTCTTCCACTGTTTTCCCAGGTACATTAGCAGGAAGCTGGATCAGAAGTAAGCAGCCAAGACTCCAACTGCTGCACATGTGGGATGCTGGTGTGGCAGGTGGTGGCTTAACCTGCTAAGCTGCAGCGCCAGCCCTAATTATTAATCTTGTACATCTTTCTAATTCCATCATGTTGGTCACCTGGTACAAGGGTCAGATTTTGAAATGTGTTCTTGATGGAGGACACTGATCAAGCAAAGACAGACACAAGTATGCCTGGCATTTCATCAAGGAGCAAAGACAAGCCAGGGTCTTAAATGCAGGTGTGAGTAGGAAGCAGAAAAGAGAGGATGGGGCCCTTACGGTCTGTGAAGCCCTGAATTACAGGGATTATCTCAAGGTTTTCGGCAAAGTAGATAGATGCTCAATAAACCTTTGCTGATAAACTACTATGATGGGATTCTGATTTTGGAATACTTGTGCTTCATGTAGTGAAGAACAGGAAGCCACCAATCATTTTCAGAAAAAACTGAAATGATTACAGGAATGCTTTTGGATAAAATTGAACAGCAGTGGTTGAAGGAGATGGTTTGATAAGGAAAGGGTAGTGGCTAGGCCTGGGCATGAAAACGAATCATGAGGCTACTTGGCTGCCTTCTAATATGATAGTGGAAGGGAGATAGACATGTCCCCGCCCATAGGGAAACAAGGATGGACAGAAGGGAGGAGCTGGAGTTTGTCCAGTCAGTAAGTACACTTTTACTGACTTAAGCACAAATAGTCTCGGTTCACTTTCTGGGACGAAAGACTGACACAGCAAACACAGCCAATCCTCACTGACTGTAGATTCAACCAACCACTGATTGAAAATATTCACAGAAAAGAATTGCATGTGTCTTGCTAGTGTGGGGACGTTTTGTTATTGTTGTTTCCTAAACAATACAGTGTAACAGTTATGTATCACATTGTGTCAGTGTTACAGGGCCTGTAGAGATTACTTAAAAGATGGGGGGGGGGGGGGTGTATAGTGTGTGTGTGTGCATGGTTTGATGCAAACACCATGTCATTTGGTGGGCCTTGACGATGTGTGGGGCACTCAGGGATGGTCGTGGGACAGCATGATCTGTGCTAACAGACATGAGTAGGGTTCATTTATTTACCAGATGACACCACGGCCTGCAGGTTCCTCTCACAACACATCCCAAACAATTCATAATGTCGTTTTCCTACCCTTTCCCAATGGGGGTGGGAGAAAGGACCTTTTCTTCCACTATTTAACCCGCTCACTTTTGCCAACTGAAAACCTGGAGATGTGTCTGAGTGTACAGTTTTAACTTGTTCTCTGTCCCCACCCTGTGGATCTTCCTTCCGTCCCTCACCTGGCCACCGCTGCTGTCGGCCTCCTGTGTTACTGCATTGCCTCCTCACAGATCTCCTGCTACACTCTTCCCCTCCCACCCTTGCTCCATTCTGAAGTCAGAGTGGGGCCCGCGGTGTGAGAGTGACCCTGCAGTGAGGTCCCCGTTCCTCACCTGACTGCTGTCTCCCCTGGCCCTCTTGCACCCCTCAGTCTGAGTCTCAGCCCCACCGAACCTTCCCCTGCGTCTCCATGCGTTTGCATCTCACACTTGGAGCTGTGCACGGCACTAGAACCCTGCAGTGTGCCCAGAACTTCTCACACTTCGGGTGTTAGCTAGAGTGTTGTTTCCACAGGAAGGCCAGCCCCAAAGGTGAGGTCAGCATGTCCCCACAACAAGTAGCTTTTAGCTTCCCTTCTGTAATTACTGTTTACAAATCCCTCTTGCAAAGCCTGCGTGCTTCAGGGAAACCCAGTGTCTGGTGCTGCGTCCCCTGCACTGGCACAGGGTGTGACACATGGAAGCTGTATCGGGTGAATGAGTGGAGCGCGGGATGATGCTTTCTGCAGGAGTTGGGGCAGTGACAATGTCTAGGGAGCGATAGTTGAGCTAGGAAAAGAATGAAACGGGGTGGAGAATCCTGGGAGCCCTGTAGCGGAGAGGACACTGCTCTGGATTTGCTGATGAGCATTCATAATATCTGCTTAACCTTCCAGACAAAGTGGTGAAGAAAGGGAAGAAGGACAAGAAGACCAAAAAGACGGTGAGAAAGTAAAGGCTGAGGATGGGGGGGGGGGGGTCTTGGGGGACGAGCAGAGATCTTGTCAAGAGAGGAGGCGGGATGCGGGTGAGATGCAGGCCCACTGGGCCTGTGTGGGGCGGGGAGGGCTTGGTTGGCCTTGGAGCCATGCTTACCCATCTCTTAACTCTTTATAGTTCTTTGAAGAACTGGCAGTAGAAGATAAACAGGCTGGGGAGGAAGAGAAAGTGCTCAGAGAGCGGGAGAAGGAGCAGCAGCAGCAGCAGCAGCAGCAGCAGGTACAGGTGACTTGGAGCCCCGAACCTTGGATCCAGCGCCCTCCGCAGGCCACGCTGGCTCTCTTAGCTGACGGGGAGCTCTGTGGTCAGGCCCGCAGCAGTGGCCGGGCTCTGCTCTCTCACTGCCTTTTGCTTTCAGCAGCAGAAAAAGAAGCGAGACGCCCGGAAAGGCCGGCGGAAGAAGGATGTGGATGACGATGGAGAGGAGAAGGAGCTCATGGAGCGCCTCAAGAAGCTGTCGGTGCCGGCCAGCGATGAGGAGGACGAGGGTAAGCGGCCCGGGGCAGGCAGGCGCGCCGAGTCCCAGACGCAGACGAGGCCACAGGCGCCGCCTTGGGGAGGGATCGGGGCACAGCCAGACGGCGTCGGTCTGGGTCCTGTCTCATCTCCCCTTGTCGTTTCAGCGCCTGCCCCAGCACCCCGAGGAGGGAAGAAGAACAAGGTGAGCTGTCTGTGTGGTAGACGGAGACCCCATGTGCAGCCTCACCTCCCCACTGACTTCTCTGGCCTTTTCATTTTCCAGGGTGGGAATGTTTTTGCAGCCCTGATTCAAGATCAGAGTGAGGAAGAGGAGGAGGAAGAAAAGCGCCCTCCTAAGCCTGCCAAGCCAGAGAAGAATCAGATCAATAAGGTGAAAGTGGTGACTCTGTCTGTCACTCCTTCTCTGTTCACCTGCTGGCCATGGTGTGGAAATTTACTGCTTTTTTTCTTTTTTTGACAGGCAGAGTGGACAGTGAGAGAGAGAGAGACAGAGAGAAAGGTCTTCCTTTACCGTTGGTTCACCCTCCAATGGCCGCCGCGGACGGCGCACCGCGCTGATCCGATGGCGGGAGCCAGGTGCTTCTCCTGGTCTCCCATGGGGTGCAGGGCCCAAGCACCTGGGCCATCCTCCACTGCACTCCCTGGCCACAGCAGAGAGCTGGCCTGGAAGAGGGGCAACCGGGACAGAATCCGGCGCCCCGACCGGGACTAGAACCTGGTGTGCCGGCGCCGCAAGGTGGAGGATTAGCCTAGTGAGCCACGGCGCCGGCCCCGAAATTTACTGCTTTTAAATGAGCTCTTGTCAGTCTGTCTGTCTGTTGCTGTCAGTCATCTTTCAGAACATGGCCGTCACTCACACCTGCAGTGATTCTCTTGCACAGGTGGGGAACCTTTCCACTGGCCAGGATCATTGAGATATTTGGCGTACCATTCGCAGGCCGTACAAAATCATTAAGTTAAAAATTAGCCTCCACAGCCGGCGCTGTGGCTCACTTGGTTAATCCTCCGCCTGCGGCACTGACATCCCATATGAGCACCGGTTCTAGTCCCGGCTGCTCCTCTTCCAGTCCAGCTCTCTGCTGTGGCCCGGGAAGGCAGTGGGAGACCAGGAAGAAGCACCTGGCTCCTGGCTTCAGATCAGCGCAGTTCTGGCCATAGCGGCCATTTTGGGGGGGTGAACTAATGAAAGGAAGACCTTTCTCTCTGTCTCTCTCTCTCACTGTCTATAACTCTACCTGTCAAATAAAAAAAAAAAAAAATGAATTAGCCTCCAGTAGATGTAGTGCATTTTTGAGTCCTGCCTGCAGTTGCATTGGCAGGACCAGACCAGATTTTGCAGGACGTTCCTCACCCCTGTTCTGCTTTAAACTCGAAACCTAAACCTGCTTTTCACTGGGAGCTGCTCCGTGCATCACTCAGATTGCTCTGATTGCTTGCCGGCGTTCAGTGTGCCCACGTCCATGTCGCTGCTGCTTCCTCCTTCCCAGAGCACCTTCTCCACACCTGCACCGTTGCCTCTTGTCGGGATTGGCTGTCGTGCCTGCGTCGTCCCTCGCCTTCGTTGATATTTCCTAGTCCTCTCTGACGGTGTGTGTGTCTTCCAGGTTGTGTCTGAAGAACAACGGCCAGGTCTCAAAGGCAAAAAAGGAAAGGAAGAGAAGTCAAAAGGCAAAGCTAAGGTGAGAGGAGCTGGTAGGAGGTGGCACCAGTTCTCAGGAGATAGAGCATCTTCTCAGACCTGTGTTTTCCCTCTTAGCCTCAGAATAAGTTTGTTGCTCTGAACAATGAAGAGGAAGAAGAAGAAGAAGAAGTAACGAAAGAAAAGGAGCCTCCCAAACAAGGGAAGGAGAAGGCCAAGAAAACAGAGCGGGTGTGTATTTTGGTGTTGGGAGCAGAGGGAACTTGGATTCTGTGGCTCTTAGGTGAAAGTTGGTTACTATGCAATAACAACAAATCAAAGTTTTAAAGACTGATTGATTGATATGAAAAGTAGAGTGACAGAGTAAGCAAGCCTCCATCTACTGGTTCTCTGTCCAAATGGTTGCAACAGCCAACACTGGGCCAGGCCAAAGCCAGGGGCCAGCGACTCCAGTAGGGTATCCCACGGGGGTGGCCGTGTTCTGCTGCCTCTCAGGTGCATTAATTGGAAGCTGGACCAGCAGCAGGACTGGATCCCAGGCGCTGTGATATGAGATGCCGGCACCCCAAGCAGTTGCTTAACTTGCTGCACCACAACACTGCCCTGGCAGACTTTCTGTACAGGCCTACACAGTAATATTCTTGGCTTTGCAGGCCACACACAGTCTCGCTGTGTCATCATCATCATTCTTGTCTTTTTTTGTTTGTTTTAAAAATTCTTGCCGGCGCCACGGCTCAATAGGCTAATCCTCCGCCTTGCGGCGCTGGCACACCGGGTTCTAGTCCTGGTCGGGACGCTGGATTCTGTCCCAGTTGCCCCTCTTCCAGGCCAGCTCTCTGCTGTGGCCAGGGAGTGCAGTGGAGAATGGCCCAAGTGCTTGGGCCCTGCACCCCATGGGAGACCAGGAGAAGCACCTGGCTCCTGCCATCGGTTCAGCGCGGTGTGCCGGCCGCAGCGGCCACTGAAGGGTGAACCAAGGGCAAAGGAAGACCTTTCTCTCTGTCTTTCTCTCTCTCTCACTGTCCACTCTGCCTGTCCAAAAAAAAAAAAATTTTTTTTTCTTATAAAATGTAAAAGCCTTTTTAACTCAGGGCACATAGAAACAGGCATCAGGTCCGATTTGGACCAGTGGCTGTGGTTTGCACTGCCTGCTCCAGCAAAGAAAGGACTCCAGAGTTAGTCTCAGGCGGTCTGGGTTCTGGCTCTGCATTTATTGGCCATGTGACCTTGAGTGCGTCTTTCCACGTCCTTGGTTGGAGCTTGTCTCATCTTTGTGAGCAAGGGGAGGCTGGTGCCCTGGTGCGCCTTTACTGTCAGCACTTCCTCGTTCTCTGATCCTGCCTGGCTCCTGGGGGTTGTGCGTTAGGGCTGCCTGATTGCCTCTTGGCATGTAAACGTGTCAGCCACGCAACCTCATCAGCCACAGAGGAAGCTCCTGTCCTACGCCTGCAGTTCTGTTGTCTTGGGTGCTGTACCCACAGGCCCACAGGAGTCTGCGCTGCGGCTTTGTGTGCGTGTGTGCTCGCAGCGCCTGTGCTACCACCATTCCTGCTGGCAGAGATTGACAGAGGGCCGCGTGTGAGAGGGCGGAGGATCCCAAGATAAATAGCCCAGGACTCTGGGTGGAACTGGGGGAGGGGTGTGAAATCTGAGTCTGCCAAGGCCTCTCAAATTTCTTGATACCACCTCTGGTTCTCATAGGGTTCAGAGGACGAAGGGGAGGAAGAAGAGGAGGAGGAGGGGGAGCCTAAGGCAGATGATCCGTATGCTCACCTCAGCAAAAAGGAGAAGAAAAAGCTGAAGAAGCAGGTAAAGCGGCGGGTGTGAGTGGCCGGAGCTGGGGGCTTTGACTGTCGTGCTGAACTCAGAGCCGTGGAGGAAGGAGAGCTCTGGGGGCTGCTCACGTAAAGCAGGGGAGGAGGTGTGCCGCGTGAGCCTCGGCTCAGGCCCCCAGTGGCACGGGCCTCACTCCTGTTCTGCTTCCTTCTCAGATGGAATATGAGCGCCAGGTGGCTTCTCTGAAAGCAGCGAATGCGGCCGAAAACGACTTCTCCGTTTCCCAAGCGGAGGTGTCCTCCCGACAGGCCATGTTAGAGAACGCGTCTGACATCAAGGTGAGGCCTGAGGGCCGCCTCCCCTGCTCAGCTGGGAGAGCTGGTTCCCTCATCTCGCCTGAGTGCTGTGGCAAGCAGGGCCACCGTGGAAGCGTTAGTGCTGAGGAAGAAAGCTGTGTCTGCCGCCGTGAGCGAGGCAGAGGAGTCCAGCCTTGGAGGCCGTGGTGCCCAGGGAGGGCCAGCCCTGGGGAGCGGGCGGTTCTGTGGGAGGCTCTGGTTTGGCAGGTTTCCACATGGGGAGAAGGCTGCTGCTCTGGCCCCACTGGGAGAATTCTCACCTGCTCGTCCCTTCCTCGTGCCCACCCTCCCTGATGGCCACAGCTAGAAAAGTTCAGCATCTCTGCCCACGGCAAGGAATTGTTTGTCAACGCGGACCTGTACATTGTAGCCGGCCGCCGCTACGGGCTGGTGGGCCCCAACGGGTGAGGAGAGGAGGGGGCTGGGGGCACAGAAGGGGACGGGGCTGGAGTGGAAAGAAGAGACGTGGCGGCCTGGTGCTAATGGCTGTCACTCCCCAGCAAGGGCAAGACCACACTCCTCAAGCACATTGCCAACCGTGCCCTGAGCATCCCTCCCAACATCGACGTGCTGCTGTGTGAGCAGGGTGAGGCTGGGGGCAGGGCCCTCGCGGGCTGGGCACTGGAGTAGGAGAGCAGCCGAGGGTAGAGGAAGCCAGGGTAGTGGGGTAGGAAGGGGTGTGTGGGGAGCCTGGGGCCTGGGAACGAATGCTCCCGGGAGGAGGGGAGGAGCAGGTGCCCCTGCATCGGAGCGCCTGGGTGTGATACCTGGCTCTGGCTCCTGACTGCAGCTTCTGGTTAATGCAGACCTTGGAAGACAGTGGTGATGGCTCAAGTAATCAGGCTCCTGCCACTCACATAGGAATTGGAATTGATTTCCCATTCTCAGCTTCAGTGCCCAGCCTGAGCCTGGTGGGGGTCGTCGTGGGCCTTGGGGAGTGAACCAGTGGGTGAGAACTCACTGCCCTCCACCCAGCCTCTCAAAAATGTTATTAAAATTTTTTTAAAAGGAGGGTTGAGTGAATGAGGGAGTAAGTGCAGAGAGCTGGGCAAGGTGAGGGCAGCAAGAACGGAGCTGAAGGGGGCAGGGAGTAGGTCCTGGGGCCCGTGGGGTGACTGCCTGTTACCCTACTGCAGAGGTGGTCGCGGATGAGACTCCAGCCGTGCAGGCTGTTCTTCGAGCCGACACCAAGCGACTGAAACTGCTGGAAGAGGAGCGCCGGCTTCAGGGACGGCTGGAGCAAGGGGACGACACAGCCGCCGAGATGCTGGAGAAGGTAGAGGCAGTGGCACAGGGCGCCTGGGCTGAGATTCGGGGGTGCCGGGGCCCTGTGGCATGCGTCCTCTCCTCTGCCATCCCAGGTGTACGAGGAATTGCGGGCCACCGGGGCAGCGGCTGCAGAGGCCAAAGCAAGACGGATTCTGGCTGGTCTGGGCTTTGACCCTGAAATGCAGAATCGGCCCACCCAGAAGTTCTCGGGGGGCTGGCGTATGCGTGTCTCCTTGGCCAGGTGGGACATCCCCCTCAGCATTCACCATTCTAGACCCCAGACCACCAGGGCTGTTTCCTTCCTTCCCTGCCTGCATTGTAAGAACTGGGCGTCTTCTCCATTTCTCACCCTACCCGGGGGTGTGTCCTCAGCATCTCCTGCATCAGAACTCCCGGGAGAGCTTGGGAAGGGGCGTTCAGGTTCTCAGGCTCCACCTCACAGGGGCTTCTCTGGGTTCCGTGAGCAAGGACCTTCGTCCCCCTGACCCTATGCTCTGCTGCCCCCCACCTCCCACAGGGCACTGTTCATGGAGCCCACGCTGCTGATGTTGGATGAGCCCACCAACCACCTGGACCTCAACGCCGTCATCTGGCTCAATAAGTGCGTTGTCCCTGGTGACGGCCACTCGTGCGCGCGCCCCTGTAGCTCTCCCGCCTCTCAGCCCAGCCCTGCTTTTCTCCCTCCACCGCCTCCTGTGTGCTTCCCCTACTTGTCTCTCATGTTGTCCTTCTTCAAAACACAGCTACCTCCAGGGCTGGCGGAAGACGCTGCTGATCGTCTCCCACGACCAGGGCTTCCTGGATGACGTCTGCACAGACATCATCCATCTGGACGCACAGCGGCTGCATTACTACAGGGGCAATTACAGTGAGTGGGGTCGTCGGTAAGGGGCGGAGCTGCAGGCATGGGCTTGGGAAGTGGGACCCAGCGTGGAGACACGTGCCCTGGCCCATGTCACCGGTCCCTGGTCGGCATGTGCCCGGGGGAGGGTGGCCTTCATGCCTGTCCCCCTCCTGCCCAGTGACCTTCAAGAAGATGTACCAGCAGAAGCAGAAGGAGCTGCTGAAGCAGTACGAGAAGCAGGAGAAGAGGCTGAAGGAGCTGAAGGCGGGCGGCAAGTCCACCAAGCAGGCGGTGCGCACTGGGCCACGCGGGCCGGCACTCGGCGCAGGCACCGCCGCGCAGCGCGCAGACTTGTCCCTTCCTTCCGCCCCTCCAGGAAAAGCAAACGAAAGAAGCCCTGACTCGAAAGCAGCAGAAATGCCGGCGGAAGAACCAGGATGAGGAGTCCCAGGAGGCCCCCGAGCTCCTGAAGCGCCCCAAGGAGTACACCGTGCGCTTCACGTTCCCGAACCCGCCGCCCCTCAGCCCGCCCGTGCTGGGTCTGCACGGTGAGTCTGAGCGTGCCCCCGGCGTGCACCCCAGCTCCTGCCCCGAGGCCGGCACCTCGAGGGGGCGGGCTGTGAGTTGCCGCTTTTCCTGGCTTTCAGGTGTGACATTTGGCTACGAGGGGCAGAAACCACTGTTTAAGAATCTGGATTTTGGCATCGACATGGACTCGAGGAGTGAGTTGACGATGTGGGGCAGGAGCCGGTGAGGTTTCTGGGGTCCTCCTTGTCTGACTGCTTGTCTGTCTGCTTGCAGTCTGCATCGTGGGCCCTAACGGCGTGGGGAAGAGCACACTGCTCCTGCTGCTGACTGGCAAGCTGACGCCGGTGAGTCGCGCAGCCCGGGCAGGAGAGCGAGGGAAGTGGAAGACCCAGCTTGTTTCCCAGACGCTAAGATCAGGGCGTCCGCCTGGCGGTGCAGGGTCAGGTCCAGAAATCAGCATAGGTTTCTGTAAGAGGGGCTGTAGACGGGAAGAGTTTAGATCTTCTAGGAAGAGAGGTAGGATTGGGCTTGGACTCAGTGCCAGTGCCATACTCCGGGGCTGCTGCCGCTTTTTTTTTTTTATTAAGTTTTAAATTTTACTTGATATGCAAAGAGATAAAGCTCTCTCATCCACTGGTTCACCCCCCAAATGCCACAGCAGCTGGGCAGAGCCAGGTGGGAGCCAGGAGCTGGAACTGCATCCAGGTATCCCATGTAGGTTGCCAGGGACCTGAGTACAAGAGTCATCGCTGTTGCCTCCCAGTGCACAGTAGCAGGAAGCTGAACCAGCAGCAGAAGAGCCAGGACTCACACTAGGCAGTCTGATGTGGGAGGCAGACGTCTCGAGCAGTGACTTACCCACTCCACTGGACACCCTGAGCAGTCCCCGACCCCCCATGTTTTGGTTATACAAGGATGTGTGTAGACATCACATAACCCAGGGCCGACGCTGCGGTACAGCAGGTTAAGCCACCATCTGCAGTGCTGGCATCCTATATGGGCGCTGGTTCGAGTCCCGGCTGCTTCACTTTCTCTCCTGCTAACGTGCCTGGGAAAGCAGCGGAGGATGGCGCAAGTCCTTGGCCCTGCACCCACGTGGGAGACCCAAAGAAGCTCCTGGCTTCAAGTACTGGCTCCTGTCTCTTGTGCTTACAGTGCATCCATTTGGGGAGTGACCCAGTGGACGGAAGATCTTTCTGTGTCTCTGTTTCTCTCTGTAACTGCTTTACAAATGAATACATATTTGAAGAAAATAGGCTAGAAATTGTATAACCCAAGAGAGAAAACTAGAGAAGCCAGTAAACTAATGTTTTATTGGATAATTCTTTCCTTTGTAAACTTGGGGTACATTTTCTAAGAGAACAGGCTATCATGTGAATTGTTTACTAGCCGGCCTTCTTTGGGTCATAGATATTAAGCATGTTTCCATGCTAATAGTCACGTGCTTACGTATACCTTATAAAGATCTAAAATGACTTTCTAAAAAAAAAAGATTTGTTTATTTACTTCTTTGAAAGGCATAGTTGGCCGGTGCCGCGGCTCACTAGGCTAATCCTCCACCTGCGGCGCCGGCACACCGGGTTCTAGTCCTGGTCGGGCGCCAGATTCTGTCCTGGTTGCCCTCTTCCAGGCCAGCTCTCTGCTGTGGCCAGGGAGTGCAGTGGAGGATGGCCCAAGTGCTTGGGCCCTGCACCCGCTTGGGAGACTAGGAGAAGCACCTGGCTCCTGGCTTCAGATCAGCGCGGTGCGCCGGCCACAGTGGCCATTGGAGGGTGAACCAACGGTAGAGGAAGACCTTTCTCTCTGTCTCTCTCTCACTGTCCACTCTGCCTGTCAAAGAAAAAAAAAAAAGGCATAGTGACAGAGGAAGAGACAGAGATCTTCCATCTGCTGGATCAGTCCCCAAATAGCCAGAACTGAAACCAGACCAGGACCTCCATCCTGGTCTCATGAGTGGCAGGGACCCAAGCACGTGGGCCGTCATCCACTGTCTTCCCAGATGCAGCAGCAGGGAGGTGGATTGGAAGTGGAGCAGCCAGGACTCGAACCAGTGCTCTGATAGGGGTGCTGGCATCACAAGCCGCTGTGCCGTGTTGCCTGTGGTACCACAGAAAGGCTGCAGCCACTTCTCCCTCCAGGATACCGAGGGGCCTCTTACTGAGGCCCACAGAGAGCGATCTTTAGGAGGATGTCAATTAGACACCCCCCTCCCCCAGTGAAACTCTCTTAACGGCCCCCCGAGGCGGAACCCTAAAACGTGCCGCTTGCGAGCCTAGCTGCCCCTCGCCCTGCGGGTTTCCCGTGTGTGCCTTGGTTAGGGAGAAGCTCCGTGTTCCGTTCTGGCGTGCGTTTGCCCTTCTGAAAAGTTGGGATTCAGGCTGCAGCCCTTCCCTTGTCTCACCACTTTCTTTCTCCTTGCAGACCCGCGGGGAAATGAGAAAGAACCACCGGCTGGTAGGTGGGCTTTGGGAGTCGGGGGCGGGGGGAAGTCTGACAGAGCAGCATCACTCATGACCACCTCCCTCTCGGGCAGAAAATTGGCTTCTTCAACCAGCAGTATGCAGAGCAGCTGCACATGGAGGAGACGCCCACTGAGTACCTGCAGCGCAGCTTCAACCTGCCCTACCAGGATGCCCGCAAGTGCCTGGGCCGCTTTGGCCTCGAGAGCCACGCCCACACCATCCAGATCTGCAAGCTCTCTGGTACCATGCTGGGGGCCAGGGGAGGCCAGGGGGTCTCAGTCTGGCTATGCAGTGTCAGGCTACGGGTGTGATGGGCCACCTCCTCTCTGTTGCAGGGGGGCAGAAAGCCCGAGTGGTGTTTGCAGAGCTGGCCTGTCGGGAGCCTGATGTCCTCATCTTGGTGAGTGCACTGGGCCATGGGCGAGGGACAGGTGGCCACGGTGGGAGGTGGGAGTGCCCGTGCGCTCTGATGGGCTTCTTCGTCTCTGTAGGATGAGCCTACCAATAACTTGGACATAGAGTCCATCGATGCTCTGGGTGAGGCCATCAACGAGTACCAGGGTGGTGAGTCAGCCTAACGCACCCCGGCCCGGCCTCTCCCTGGGGACCTTCAGCTGGGGCGGCCGCCTTCCTTGTGCTCACTCGGCTCTTCTTTCTCCAAAGCTGTGATCGTCGTCAGCCACGATGCTCGCCTCATCACGGAAACCAACTGCCAGCTGTGGGTGGTGGAGGAGCAGAGCGTTAGCCAGATTGACGGCGACTTCGAGGACTACAAACGGGAGGTGTTGGAGGCCCTGGGTGAGGTCATGGTCAGCCGGCCGCGAGAGTGAGCTTCCGGCGCGCAGCGTCCCGAGAGACCAGCGGACGCGGGCCGGAAGCCCCCGTCATCGCCCGCCTCTGGGCCGCAGCTCACCCAGCGACCAGTCGGGCAGCTGGAGGTAGAGTGTGGCCTCGGGCCACCAGGATACCACTGGATTGCGTCCGTTCTCCCTGAAAGACTTGCCTGGTGGACACCCCTGCAGGCAGCTGTGCTGGCCTCGTCTGTGAGTCCCTCCGCACAGAGCTTACTCCTGCAGTGGGCTCCAGCAGCCTCGCTCGCCTGGCCTGGCGTCTCGAGACTCAGTGCTCAGAAACCTGCCTCTGGGCCACCTTAAAGCTCCGGCGCAGCTGCACCTGGGCTCGAGTGCTGCTGTCCTCTCCTGGGGGTCCCGTGCTGACTGTGTGATGCTGGCAGCTCGTGGAGCTCAGCTGGACGGGGCGCCTACAGCCGCTTGTCTCTTGGGACCTGGAGCAGTGAACGCTGCCGCCCTCTGATCGCCCTCTGCAGGGCAGGAAATAAAAGGCATCGCTGCCACCCTGTCCCTGCGCGGAGATTGCTGTGAGTCGGCGCCCCCGGGCCCCTTCCTCACTAACACAGGTGGCTCTGCCTGTGCCCTGCCCCTCCCCCGCAGACAGGGCAAGGGAGAGCGCTTTGCCCCTTGTCTGTGTCCAAGCTGAGTTCTCAGTGAGGAGGTGCTCCACTCAGTGGTCAGGGACAGAGTACTGGGCCTCCTAAAGCTTAGTAAATCAGCCGGCCACTGAGCCCCTGCTGTGAGGGGCAGGAAGGGAAGGGCGCCCCCTGCTGTGGTGAGCAGAGAACGTTGGAGAGCTGCACTATGGCGTGTGCGCAGATGTGGTCGATTCCCGGAAGCGGCGGGTGCCGTGTGTCTGAGGAGGGAAGGGATGGTGCAGGGCTTTGTATCTGTCAGGATCACTTGAGGGTGGACCTTCAAAAATAATAAGCACTGGGGCAGAGTAATGAAGAACAAGGAGCCGATATTTCGAAACTGGAAAACATAGCTAAGGCCTGAAGAGAGTGCTGTTGGGAGTCAGTGAGGGAGCCTGACGTGGCCATTTTTCTCAGCATGGGGACATGGGTGTGGAAAGTCAGGGGTCAGTGGGTGGTGATGGGTCAGGTGCAGTGGAAGCAGGGTGGACCGCACAACTGTGTCCAGTAGGCCGGCAGTGCTGGCAGGCACCAGTAGGGGGGGCGTGGTGCGGAGATGGCTGTGTGGGTGCAGAGGGGCTGCAGGAGTCAGGGGAGAATCTGAAGGCCGGACAGCCGACTGCCGGGAAGGCGTCCTGCAACAGCAGGAGCCAGGCTCTGGGCCCGCTTGCTGATGCTGGAGCCGTGGACAGGCTGCTGGGGCCAGCGTCCTCGTCTGCAAGGTGAGGAAGTGCCTCCCTCATCACACTTCCCGGGGATTAGATATGTAGTGTTTTTTTTTTTTTAAGATTTATTTATTTATTTGAAAGGCAGAGATAGGAGGAAAGAAAGAGCTTCCACTGATTCACTCCCTAAGTAGCTGCAATGGCCAGGGCAGGGCCAGACCGAAGCCAGGAGCTTCTTCCAAGTCTCCCACATGGATGCAGCAGCCCAATCACTTGGTCCAACTCCCACTGCTTTCTCAGGCTTATCAGCAGGGAGCTGGATCGGAAGTGGAGCAAACCGGTGCCCAAACAGGATGCCAGCACCGCGGGCAGAGGCTTAACCTGCTCCGCCACAGTGCCGGCCTCTAGGTGTATGGTATAAAGTGCTTTGCTTTCTTTTGTTACACGCATCTCCTGTTGCACTTCAAATTTTCAGCTCACTAGTCGAGATGTGATGATGATAATATATAATAGGGCTGGTGCCGCGGCTCACTAGGCTAATCCTCCACCTGCGGCGCCGGCACCCCAGGTTCTAGTCCCAGTCGGGGCGCCGGATTCTGTTCCGGTTGCTCCTCTTCTTGTCCAGCTCTCTGCTGTGGCCCGGGAATGCAGCGGAGGATGGCCCAAGTGCTTGGGCCCTGCACCCCATGGGAGACCAGGAGAAGCACCTGGCTCCTGGCTTCAGATCAGCGTGGTGCGCCGGCCGCAGCGGCCATTGGAGGGTGAACCAACGGTAAAGGAAGGCCTTTCTCTCACTGTCCACCCTGCCTGTCAAAATTTTAAAAAAAATAAAATATATAATAGGAGGGTTACTTATAAAATGAATGTCAAAATTTTGCATTTCAGTTTGTTTCAAGCACTTGAATCTTTTTTTTTTTTTTTTAAGAGTTTTTATTTGAAAGGCTTAGTTAAGAGGGAGGTACAGGAGGAGAGAGATCTTCCTCGGCTGGTTCACTTCCCAAATGCCCTCAGTGGCCAGGGCTGGAACCCATTTGACCCAAAACCAGCAGCCTGGAACTCCATCCAGGTCTCCCACATAGGTGGCAGGGACCCTGGTACCTGAGCCATCTGCTGCTTCCTGGGCACATTAATAGGAATTTGGATCAGAAGTGGAGCAGCCGGGACTTGAACAGGTGCTCATAGGGGATGCCAGTGTCTCACCAACAGCTTAACCAACCGTGCCACAACACCAGCCCCAGTGTTTCAAGTGTTTGATCACTAATGTCAGGTACTTGAGGTGCTATGAAAGGACCTCCATCCTGGGCACACATTTCCTTCCTTTAATACACATAGTCTGGGGCCGGTGTTGTGATGCAGCGGGGCACCAGTTTGAGACCCGGCCGCTCCACTTCCAATCCAGCTCTCTGTGGCCTGGGAAAGCAATGGAAGATGGCCTAAGTGCTTGGGCCCTTGCACTCATGTGGGAGACCTGGAAGAAATTCCTGAGTCCTGGCTTTGGATCGGCGCATCTCTGGCCGTTGTGGCCAACTGGGGAGTGAACCAGCGGATGGAAGACTTCTCTCTGCCTCTGCCTCTCCTCTCTCTGTATAACTCTGACTTTCAAATAAATAAATCTTTTAAAAAATATATACTCTGTAGCGGGATTATCAGTAATTCACCTAAGCGTGGGCAAACATATGCTCTGCCTCAAACCCAGCGAAGAAACAGCAGGAAAGGTAGGAGGGCGCACAGATTTACATGGTGGGGAAAGTGGAATCAAGTCTTTTACTCGTAGATTGAACTTGTAGCTACAGTTCATGGAGATGTGGTACATGGTCATGATTGTCCACACCTTCCTAATGAGAAAACAAAACCCAACCCTGCCTGCCCCGTGTCACCCAGCCTGGAGAGGCAGAGCTGGGATGGTGGCCCCTGGTGGCTCCAGTGTCTGGGTTCTCTCCTCATCTGAGGCTGTGGACAAGATGAGCAAAGGACGCATCCCAGAGGCACGGTAACCACCATCAGGCTGTGGAAGGTGTTAGGAGGGTCACGACAACAGTGGGGAAGGTGAGAACCAAGAAAGGCCCATGGCCACAGGAAGCCGCCAGGGGAGAGAAGTGAGAAGTCGCCCCGTGTGGCCAGATCTGAGAGCAACACCTGGCGGTTAGAAGTGCAGACAGCAGCAGCAGGTGCTGTGGGAAGGGCACTCTGCGTCACCCTTACGTGGGTGAGCAGGGGTGGTGTCAGCAGAAACACTGCAGGCAAGACCTGAACGTGGACAAGGAACCAGCCCGACTAAGAGGAACGAGCTGTCAGGGGTCAGGAATGCAAAGGCACGGAGACTGCTCTAGATGCGTGTCTTGAGGGGCCGGCGCCGTGGCCCAGCGTGTAGCCACTGCTCGTGAGGCCTGCGTCCCGTGTTGCAGTGCCAGTCTGAGTCCTGACCCGCATGCTGGGGTGCAGCAGGTGACTCAGGTGCTTGGGTCCCCACCGCACATTGGAGACCCAGATGGAATTCCAGGCCCGGGGCTCTGGCTTGGCCCAGCCCTGGTGGTTGTGAGCTTCAGAGGGGTGAACCAGTACCTGGAGGACCAGTCTGCCTTACAAGGAGACTAAAGTAAGCAACAAGAGAAACGTGAGAGTGAGCAGCGGCCAGCAGGCATAGGGCCACGTGCCCGGGGAGGGACTTGGAATCTGACTCTAGGGACATAGGGTGGGCATTGGTGCTGTTTCAGCAGGAGTGTGAATTGGTCTTTGTTTTACAAAACTGTTCTGGCTGCTGGGTGGAGCACGGTGGTGGGGAGACAGCAGGTGTGTCCCATGTGGAGAGAAGACCCTCCTCTTCCTCTAAGAATGGACAGCAGGCCGGCGCCGCGGCTCACTAGGCTAATCCTCCGCCTAGTGGCGCCGGCACACCGGGTTCTAGTCCCGGTCGGGGCGCCGGATTCTGTCCCGGTTGCCCCTCTTCCAGGCCAGCTCTCTGCTGTGGCCAGGGAGTGCAGTGGAGGATGGCCCAGGTGCTTGGGCCCTGCACCCCATGGGAGACCAGGAAAAGCACCTGGCTCCTGGCTCCTGCCACCGGATCAGCGCGGTGTGCTGGCCGCAGCGCGCCGGTTGCGGCGGCCATTGGAGGGTGAACCAATGGTAAAGGGAGACCTTTCTCTCTGTCTCTCTCTCTCACTGTCCATTCTGCCTGTCAAAAAAAAAAAAAAAAAAAAAAAACGGACAGCAGCAAGCGGATGTGTGACTCGGTGATGAAGATGTTGCTTGGGCTGCCTGGCATCCCGTAGCAGAGTGCCTGGGTCCCAGCTTCCTGCTAGGGCAGCAGTGATGGCTCGGGTGCCTGGGTCCCCGCCACCCACAGGGTTGGATTGAGTTCTGGGTTCCCAGGTTTGGCCTAGCCCAGCCTCAGCCATTCTGGGCATTTGGAGAGAGAACTAGCAGATGGGAGGCTGTCTTTCTCTCTTCTGCCTTTCAAATAAATTCTGAAAGAAAAAAGTAGTGGTGACTTGGGTGTTTGCCTATGATGAGAAAGGCAGTGGGGCACAGAGGGGATGAGACTTCCCTTCTCAAAAGTTTGGTTCAGCCTGCACTGTGGCGCAGCAGGTTAATGCCCTGGCCTGAAGTGCCAGCATCTCATAGCCGGTTCAAGACCCAGCTGCTCCACTTCCCATCCAGCTCTGCTATGGCCTGGGAAAGCAGTAGAAGATGGCCCAAGACCTTGGGCCCCTGCACCTGTGTGGGAGACCCAGAAGAAGTTCCTGGCTTCGGATTGGCACAGCTCCAGCCATTGTGGCCAATTGGGGAGTGAATCAGAGGATGAAAGACCTCTCTTTCTCTCTCTCTCTCTCTCTCTGCCTCTCCTCTCTGTAACTTTCAGATAAATAAATAAATCTTAAAAAAAAAAAAAAGTTCTGGTCCCAGAATCAAGAAGGGAAGTTTTCCAAGCAGCAGTAAGTGTTGGCCCAATGCTGATGTTAACTTGTACTGTGTCAAGATGGTAGGATTTCCTGCCCAGGAGCAGGAAGGAGAATTGCGAGTATTGCTGACTCAGCACTGGGGACAGCCTGGCTTGCCTGGGGTCAGGGTGTAACGTTGAAGGGATATTTTGGAAGGGGAGAATGGGAGCAGAAGTAAGAAAAGCCTCCAGGGCTTGGAGGGAACGGTCAGGTGCCCCGGGGGCCACGCCCGTGCCGCCCGGCCCACTTCCCTGCACCGAGGCAAAGGCTTG